GGGAAGGTGAGCTGCGTCGTCGTGGCCACGCCGTAGATGGTGGCGCCGGCAATGAGCATGTTGATGGACGTGGCCTTGGCGCAGATGGCCGAGCCAATGACGCCAAAGACCTGGCCACCGATGAGGAAGTACCGACGGCCGACGATGTCACTGAGACGGCCGACGATGAGCAGACCAATGCAAGTCACGACGGTCGAGGCATCGGTGATCCAGATGTACGAAGGCGAGGAGCCGAGGTCTTCGTTGATGACGGTGATGGCGGAGGCCTGGTTGGTTAGAGGTCTCGAATTCACAAGAGCAATATGCCGAGGACGCACGGCAAGTCGGGTCTGTGTGACAAACAAAACAGAACGAGGAACACGACACATACAGGAAGGTTAAAGTTCACAAAGAGTGAGGCGGCCAGCAGCACAATACTTGAAAACGTTCCGAGGAAGCGGTACGAGTACCAGTAGCCCGAGGGGATGTTGTCGGCCTCGACACCACGGGCGGTCACGGCTTCGGTGTCGCTGTCGGTGTTGAGGTTGTTGTTGACCTGGTGGAACTCCTGCTTCTCGCCATTCTCGAGGGCGGCCTCGCCGGTGGCGCTGTCGCTCATGATGGCGGTTGGTGAGGACGACGGGGAAGGAGAAGAAGAAAAAGACGAATTAAAGAGGTCCGACGAAGAAGAAGAAAAAAAAAAAGATCAAAAGAGTGGTAAGTGAAAAAAGAGGGAAGGCAGAAGATCCGAATTAAGAGTCTTATTCTAATCCTTAATGGGTCCTTCCGGGATCTCTTTCCAAGCTGGAGGTCGTCTGGCTCTCACAGTTTCGCCGAGAAAGTGAAAAGAAGAAAAGAACAGAGCAACGAAGAACGGAAGAAACAAGAGGGAAAAATCCAACACGAAAATCGAAGGAGGGACGTCGATCCAAAAAGAAGAAAGATCAGCCTAGTCTTATATGCAGACAGGGCCGAGTCAACGAAGCTATGGACGACACACCCAGGGCCTGGCCATTGATCCGCTCAGCGAGTCGGGTTCCTCTTTGGCCGTAGTTCTTTGCTTCTTTCGTCGCCCGTCGCCGAAATCTCGCCAGCGCGAAAACGTGGACGGGACGTGGATTCGTGGCGACATGGGGGGACCCTCCAGCAGGTTGTGTGTCGGACAGGGGACCCAGCCTCGTAATCCCTACGAAGTAATCCCAATCTCAGAGCAAGGACTGTGGTTGGGGGTTGCTTTCTTTGGGACAGGCGTGTGCAGAAAGAAAGAACGAAAAGAAAGAAGCTGGGACGTGGAGGGCGTGAAAAAGGGGAGCTTGAGGTCGTGGGTCCTCTTGCGAGCTCTTGCCTCGAAAGAGCCCCTCACACCCCATTCAAGCCTCCTCCACTTTTATCCCTCCCACTTTTATCCCTCCGGCGCTGCAACGCTACCCTTGCAGGTCTTTTCCGTCGCTCTAGCGTCCCCTCCTTCTCCCTCTAGCGCGTCACCTCTTTAGTGCTATCCCGTTGCTCTTTCTGGATTTGGTATGCATCGGCACCCGTGGCCACCCCTATCACAGTTTTATTCCTTCCTATTCCTATCCAGGCAGTTCATCGGCACCTTTACTGCTCTGTCCAGGTAGAACTACGCCACCCGTTGTGCTGCTAGAGGACCTCCTAATATACGATGTATCTTACCACTTCTCAGCGCCTGGGTCTGCAGCACAACCTGCCAAACGAATCACCATGGCCTGTTTCTTGTGTGATGGTGGTTTCTTACAGGACATCCTGTAATATCTTCGTCTCTTCGTATATATAAGATTACCCTGTCGCTTATATATATAGATACCGGGCAAAGCCGTGGGCTGGCAACATACTGGACACTGCTGAGCTTTACGGTTTCTTTAGGGTCTTCTAGGACTGCTCTAGGTCCGTCGGGGCCGGTTCCGCCGCACGGATGTCCACTTCCACTAACTCTTCAGCTGTGTGTTAAGGCCTCGTCCCGCGTCTCTTGGCTCGTCGTCCCGTTTTCTTCTGTGTCGCCGCCCCTAAAACTAGTTAAATCCGGGACCACCGCGCTCGGTTTGGCTCTTGTTTTAAGGCGATTGTGGGGAGGAAAAGCATTCTCCGTCTTTTGCACGGCCGAGAAGAGTAGCCGTCAAGTTCCATCGTCAGGGGCGTTTCACAGCGGCCAGTGCCTATCAGGCACTGAATCTTAGTGAACGAGTCAACTCACTGACAGATGGCCGGGCATCCTTCACACAGAAACGAGTAAATAGGGTCCCCAGAGGCCGAATCGCTGAATCACTAGTGCATCAGTCGCTCCGTCGCAGATTAGCCCGAAGAAACGCGCAACGGCAGTGTTGTCGACTCCTCGCCTCATCAAGGTGCCTGTTTCGGAGGTGTTGGAGAAGATCCTTTGGATGGCAATTTTGTTGTGGGCCGGTATTTTGCGCCTGCAGCCATTGCCTGCCCGACAAAGTTCCGTATTGCGCAGGAGCCACTGCACGGCAGGCAAAAGGTGGCATATTCACGAGCACGTTATTCCCATGTGTCTGTATTCTGTAAACGACATGCGAGTAGAAAAGGGTAACCGTTTCGTCTCTTTCCTGGTGGGGGCAAAGACAAGGCCGCTTATGGCTGTGATGACAACGCCAATCGGGTGTCAGATGGTTTCTTTCCTGTTGTTCCACCTGGTGTCGAAAGACCAATGCATTGTGCTTGATTCCAACGACGAACATTGGATAATGCACTGCAACGTCGAACAAGGGTGGCGTGGGTTGGTGGTGGAAAACACAACACCCAACGCGAAAAGGTATGGGCAGTCCCGGCAAGACCCCCAGGGTGGTATTCTCCAGAGTGGTATGTCGTATTGGGCCGTTTTCGTTATCGAGCATGGTCGTTGTCGCAAAAGCGAGCGTTACAGTCTTGAATATGTCCTGGTGTTAAGCTACACTGGCATTAAGGATGAAATCAGTAGCAAAGGCGAGGTTGCGATGACGGACGCAAGACTCGGCGATGTTCTACCCGTTACCTGTGAATCATGCCCTCGCATGCACCCTTGTGTTGTTCGAGATAACTGAGGGGTATGAACACTCGCTTCCCAAGAATCAAATTCAAGATGACTGCATGCGCCGTGCATGTGCTGTACCCCGTACTCTGTGCACATTATGTATGCAGCGTCCGCTTGTCCTTCCTACACACCCCGAAAGTCCCGCGAGTCCAATTTGTCTACCAACACCGTCGCACCAACGGAGAGAACACATACGGCTCGGTTTTGCATCCTCTTCATGCTCCTTGCACAACTAGCGCGTGGGAGTGACGGTTGTCTGGGAATGGAAAAGGGGAACATCTGTCGGCTCAAAAAAAAACGTGGTAGACAAGGAACTGTTGCATCTCGACTGTGTGTGCGCGGACAAGGACGTGGGTTCCCGTGTCCATGGGCTGGACACATGCTTGTGACACGAGGACGAACAAGGGAGGCGAGACATAAAGCAGACGCGGTGAGATGATGCACTCGTTGTCCCCGCATCCAAGTGGCTGGATGCGAAGAGATATTGACATTTACTATTCCTACTGTTCCAGGGGAAGTAATGCGCGCCACGGGAATTTTGGACAAGTCTCGGGAAATCCGTACTACTGACTCTTTTGTTTCCAGATTCTCCAGATATCTCCAGACTACTGACGACAAGAGCCACAGGCTACTAGACGGAGTACGGGGAAAGAACATTAACTAGCTAGTTGACGAACCTTTCCCCGGACAACATCAACAATCCGTCGTTTGTGTCCCGCGAGCCGTTTGTCTTGGCCCTCCACCGGCCCCAGTTTCTCCTCTTGACGATGTGAAGTTTGAAGGTGCGGAAAATAAGAGCCTCTAGCAAGCAACAACTGTTGTACGACTGTGGATATGGTCTGTGGTGAGTGCATTTCCTTTTTTTGTCTTGCCTTTGCCTTCTATCACGGCTCTCGATGTCGTGACTGTCAGGTTTGGCTTCATCCTCCCAAGACAAATTAAGCATTTCCCAAGACACGCCGTACAGCATCCAAGAGTTGCTTGTCTCGTGCCCAGTCCGTCCGCCCGTCCGCCAATCCGTCCGTTACAGCGGCACTCCGTCTCCCGTCGCCTTATTTTTGCTGGGCACTTGGCAAAGGCAGACATGGTAATGGAAAACGACGCGCAATTAACTTACTGTTTTGCAGTGGCCTCAAAGAAGGGGAACTGCCTTTGCTCAGAAACACACCTGTGCATTGCGGTGTACTTTTACGTGGTAGCGGGGAAGGAAGTTGGAGGGTTACAGCGCGCTTGTACGAATTCGGCAACGAGCTCGTCGAAGGGACGATCCTTGTCTTTTTGCCTTGTCCAACTAATCTAGTTATGGTGGTCATGTTTTTGACTTTCGAGAAGGCGCCCACACCTTCGAGCCATAATGCGAGGCGCTCCTTCCCGATAGCTTAAACAGCGTGTAAAGGGGAAGAACGACCCTGCACACTGCAAACTTCTAGCGATTACGGGTAGCCGTTACGGGATGAAGTAAAAGAATGTTCTGTGAGGCATCTACTCGTCCTCCGATACAGATGCAAATTCGGATATGTATCGAATTGTATTGAACAAACAACGACACGCCGGATCAGGACAATACATCCTACGAGAATGATCGTTTGCCCGCGTACAGAGCTATCCTGCCTCGTCTCTCACGCATTGTATCAACAATACTTTACTACAAGTAATGTCGGCTTGTCTCACTCTCCACTCGTATTGACTTCATATCCATCTTGCTAGACAATTTCAAGGCAGTGCACAGGGCCATGCATATGACCACATACTAGATACTACCACCTTTCACAATCAAAGATGACGGTTGGCGCCGGGGAGGAGATCTAGGCGCTTCCCTAACCTGACCTCGCGGGGGGTATCATAGCATCATCGCGAGACGAAAGACGCTCTTCTGGTTTCTTTCATCAACACACCATATTGTGTTTCTATCGACCGTTCGTCCCTCGTGATGATACAATGTCACGCTCATGGTATGATCATGGGCACAAAATTAAACGCCTCCTGATTCAACTCCCGACCAAGCCTTGCCGCATACGGTCAGCATCTCGCAGCTTCGCCATGAACCCGAGCCACGGGATTGATAGGAACCTAACCGACGTGGACCCAGCGATCTCCAGATGGCATAGCTAGTCGCTATACCCATGATGTGCACGGGCAAATCACCCGTTGTTGTGGTCGCGATGCCCTTGACAGAACCTTTTGATATCAAAGTCAGAAATTTGAAAAGGTTGAAGAACGAAATTACCAAATGATCACTTTTGGCCAAGTCCATCTACGACTACTACTAAGCACAGCACATTGTCGGAAGTCGTTAGGCGTGCCTTCTGCGCCAAGTATCATTTTACACGCGGTCTTGGTCTGAGACCATGCAGCCACACGACCGACCATGCCCTTGAGACCGTCATCCGCAAAGCTTCCAGAAGTGGCAAGATGAATCATTGCAACTTTGACGGCGGTGCATGCAATTCGCCATTTGAACATGCGCAAATCCGCGTCTCCTGTGGTATTCGTGCGACCCAATGGACGGTTTTCACTATTGTAGAAGGTCGCCCTGACAAGGCCACCTTGTTCGCGGTGCATTACCGCGTGCACTGTGTTGTTTGGTTTTTTGTTCCAGAAAACTTTTGCTCCGTAGCCATTGTCCTTCTTTCTGCTCAGACAGCGACTGAGAACATGTATATGTCGTCCATTCGGCTCCCTATCCACATGAACACAAGCATGGCGAATTACACATCTAGCAATCAGATTTCCCCGTATCGTGGACCCGCACTGCAAGTACTTGCGTGCCGTCTGCTCCGGATAGAATTACGAAATACAACATACTACTCATAGTTTCACAAAGGGCGTTGGGACGATTTGGTTTATGGCGGCCCCGAGATGAGCACCTCTTACCTGGAAACGGCAGTTAGCCGACTTGGCTCGGAGGAGACCTGCTCGGCCAACCGCAGAATCTCAACTGAACGAGTCTCAGGCCAAGAAATCATTGACAAAAACAATATCAAATTCTTACATTACATTGTAAATCTCTCTGCTCAGTTCAAAGTACGGAAGGTGGAAAATCCCGACGATCGAGGTGACAGACACCGCCAACTCCGAGATCTACAATTTACAGCCCAGATGGAGAAAGGAGCAGGGCCAGCCTTCCACTCTTTCCATGACCATACCCTGTTTCTTCAACATTGCAAATGCAGCACCTACCTTGTCAGCTTGGCTTTTTTCAAGTAAACTTCCGCCGATCATCGCTACAAAAGTTAAAAGAGTACATGCACGTCGTACAGGGCTTCCAGTGCTACAAACTACGGTGCGCATAACACGTGGGAGGTGCAAGATTTCATGCAGAACCAGACCCAGACCCAGACCCAGACCCAGACCCAGACCCAGACCCAGCACTGGCACGCTTGTGCGGATGCGAGTACGGGTGGAAGCGGGAGTTACGGCGAGTCGTTGACCTTGTCGTTTGCACATTGTCGGTGCCGGTGATCTCGATACTGGATGTGGGCGAGGAAACGACGGAGCTGGCAACGGAGAAACTGTCTTGTGTCCACTCCATTGTCTCTGGGCTGCCAACAGTTTCGGCAACGGCAGGAACAGCACGAGCCGCCTCCCCCGTCTGAGAAACACCACACTCATCCACCCAGTCCGCGTCCCAGGGCGCCTTCAGGGTCGAAAGAGGCGACAGGAGACGGCCGTCGTAGGTGAGCGGGTTCGTCGGACTGACGAGACCGTTGCCATAGTCGCAGCCGCTGCCGTTGCACCGCAAAGCCTGCATGGGCGGCATGGCATTGCGTGTTACACCGATCGAGTACACGCTGCAGGCCTTGCAGCCGGTGCTGCTACTGGCGGTCACCACCCAAAGGCTGCAGGGGCGTGCCTGCATGGTGGGGAGGGGGGAGGTGCGTGTCTAGATTGTAAGAAAAGACAAGGGGGAAGCGAATAAAAAAAAAAAAAGGCAAACCAGGTTACCAGATGGAGTCGATTCCTTTTTCCTCGTTCGGAAGAAGAACGACCAAAAATAGCGATAGAGGGAGAGAGAGAGCAGAAATAGCAGACTCTCAAAAGTATGGAGCCTCTGGGTGTGCGGTTTTCGTGTCTCTCGTCCTCGCAATGTGAGAATGGCAGTCTCGGCGTCAAAGGACAGGGGCAAGCAGGAGAAGGTGAAGAAATTAAAAAGAAGCAGGGCAATGCTTAGGTCACCGTGTTGGTCAATTACTCTCGCATTCCCTTTTTTGGTTATTATCTGTCGTCTTTTCGTCCGTCGTTCTATTATTCGCCTTTCTTACCGCCAGGGTAGAGATAAGGACGAGTTGAGCAAGTGGACGAAACCGAGCGAATGTACAGACAGACGATAATAAAAAGAGACGGAAAGTAATGAACTCGACCTCACAAAAAATGCCGTGCTTGTCTTGTTTTCCTTCTTCTTCTAGATGTCGTTGCCCAAGTCAAAAAATTGTGTCCCGCAGAAAAGAAGTATTCAGGAACGAAAATCAAGGCGGTGTCTATTTGTATTTGTATGGCTTTGGATGTTTCTTTGTTCTGGGTGAAAGGCATGGCCAAACAAAAGCCTTGTCGCGAAGTTGCCCTTATGAACAAGTGAGGTTGTGCTGGCCTCAAAGACATACGTCAATTGTTTGGCGCACAATGGACAAAGAAGGCTGTACAACATCGATTGTGACTAGACAACATGTCGATTCGAGCAGGCCGCGTCAAAGCGAAGATCTCAAAAGAAACCCTGGAACTCAAGGGCAAACGACAGGGCAGAAAGGACGAAAAAGAAAGCAAATTGACGCCACACTCTGGGCAGAGACTCAAAACAAAAGAGAAAAGATGTGCAAAAACAGCGTGCAAGCCATGAGGAACCCTAGTTTCCATGTTGCAGTCAGGGAATGGACCTGTCATCCACAAAATCCCTGCACCTGCATGGAAATGGAGAATGAAGAGAATTTGAAAAAAAAAAATAGAAGAGCACGGAAAAGAAAAGAATCTCACACGTGTGGCAGCGATGTCGGTATATGCCGTAAACATGCTGGAAGGGCATCAATGTCGAGGGGCCCTCCCGAGCAAGGGCCCAAAAATAAAGTCAACCTTCTCCATCGTGCTGTCTTCCCATACGACGAGCACGTTGACGGGCACCGCATGGGTAGTGTCGACTTGCTGTCTCGGGGAGTGATCAGCAATCAGCAATGTTCTGTGTGCATCGTAAGCAGGCGACCAAATGAAGGCATCGGACCGGTTCGGGGATTTTGCGTCTCGTAACGATATTTCATCCTGCCAAGGAAGGACACACGTTTTTCTGATCTTGACGTTTCTTATCATCGATCAATCTCGGAGAGGAAATAACAATGTGGCACAGATCCAGTTACACGACTTCCAGAGCTTGTACGGAGCCGTACCGACTTGTCTGTGTCTCACCACATGTCACGTCGCATTTTGGGCGGCGGAGATTTTGGAAAAGGTGTGAAGCGAGTCAGGAGAACAAATCAGAAACAGACACACGACGTAGAGAAACAGAGTCGCCGTGTATCAATCGTCGTACTCAGTACGTTGTATGTCGATCGGAAGTCGGCTTCCAAATCACGTGAGACGGTCGCGACTGTCGCAGGTCCCTGGCCCCTGGTCAGTGCTGTGGGCGGGTCCTGCGAATTAGGTGCTAAAAATGGAGCTTGGAACTCCACTAACTTGCGGCGCCAGGGCGCTCTTCATTTCCGGGGGGCCTTGTCTCCCAATTAGACGTTAAGAATACCTGTTATGGAGAGGCGCCAAACAGCTGTTCAGTTTCGCCGTATGTACGCAACCGAAAACGCCCCGGAAGCCTGCCAGCGGGACAAGCTTCAGGGACGAGGCCCCTTATTTTAGTGTCGCGGAAACCAGGACAGGCAAGGATACCAGGGTTTACTAAGGCAACCCAGGGCGTTTGAAGATAGGCTCTGCACGACGTAAAACTCTCGCTGTAAGTGCTGATTTGGGGTGGGATGAAGGGCTAAAAGAGGAGCGCTGACAGCTGAAAGGCGCAAAGCTAGCCAGAGTCGTACTAAGAAGGCAGGCCCAAAATTGCGAATAAGGAAGGAGTGTCGTTAAAAAAAGAAAAGAAAAAAGAAAAGAAAAGAAAAAAAACACATCTGCACAAAGCTGTACTTACAGAGTATGATGTACGATGTACAAATGTCCGAACAGTTTGGAGCTCCAGAACAACATACTCCGTATATCCGTACATACTCTACATCGAAAACGCCTCTCCCTTCGCTACTCTGGAGTTCATCTCAAGTCAACCACGAAATAAACATCGGGACATGGAGCGACACCGTCTGTAATCCAACGGCCGGAGAATAAAGCGCGCCATCCAGGGACGGCGCGCATCCGTTGTCTGTGTGTCAATGGGCACATTGGAAGGCATTTCTAATCTCCCTCCGGTAGTAGCCTGTCCGTGTCCTGTCCTTGGGCCTGTGCCCCATTTCTGTCTCCCAGAACCAAGACTCACCCAACGAGGAAAGTCGCTCGTGTGCCACTGGCCGTCTGCCGTGTGACTCTATTACCATGACGTTCTATGATTCTCTATTAGACGTATCCGACTCTACCGCATCTGTCTCGTCGTGTCGTCGTGTCATCGCGCCGCCGTTGTCAGTTTGCGGTCGTGCTTTCGTCGCAAAATTTACGCTACACTTTAAGTGGAGTGCACTCGTCGATGGTCCTCAACGCCATTAACGGGCACTAAGATCAGCGGCCCCTTTACCCAATCATCCCTAAAAGCTCACCTAAATCCTCCGAAAAGTCGAAAATCTTGCACAATGTCCACTAGGAGCCATCCCAAACTCACTCCTCAGCGGGTTGCCCCTCAGGCCCTAAACGAAGCTCTCGGCGCCGGCGCGTTTTCAGATGGAGGCCCAAAAAGGGGAAACCATAAGAGTCCTACTAAGTCCATACTCCGAGCAAGCTAAATTGATATTTACGATACATCGCATCGCGATATCAACAATGGCCGACAGTTGTGGCTCAGAGCAAGTGTGCGAGCCTATACTTGGTGCTACCTGTGGCAGACCGCGCTGGACATACAAAAGGGTAGTTCCCTGAAGGCTCCCTACAGTGCGCCTTTTCAGCTGACCTCTGGCGGAGAGCCGACTGAGCCAACAAAAGGACAAAATCCATGGACACGAGCAACATCTCGACTGCAATGGAAGTGGGCGTCGCAGGGTATTAGGAAAATGGGCAAACGGGCATAGAGGGCGTCTCCCTGTCTGCGAGGGGGTGTGAGAGACTCTGATTGACAGCAGAGATGCGACTGCTCGCCGAGAACAAACGAAACCAACATCGCAGCATGCACGTCTGCAGCTCTGCACATTTGAACGAGCGACACGTCACAGCTCAGCAGCCCCATCACACTGTGCGTCGTGCGCTTTATGCATAATGCATCCCGCGTCCCGTGTCCCCCGTCCCGCGTCCCGCACCATGCATACAGAGGACGGAGAATGCAAGACACAATCCCATCATGGCTGCCACCCAAACCGGCCAGTGCGACAGCCAGTGCAACGTCCTGTCCAAGACTACGTCCAACATTGACGAGTCAACGTGCAGCTCAGCTTCACCCTTGCATGCGTACTGCGTACATGCTTGCATACTCGTCCATCGCTACTGCAGCCACAGTGCAGTGTTGCACCAGGCATACCCTTCTGTTCATACGAGGATGGCGAATAACGTCGCGGTCCTTGCAAGACAAATGGGATGGCGACAGACGCAAGCGCCAAAACACGGTCATCTCCTGAGAAGACTTTAAGAACAGGACAACAGGTCCCTTCACCAGCTCTCCACCTTTGAAAACCAAAATGCATGGGGGGGAAGGCAAGAGGAGAGGAGAGGAGAGGAAGAGAAAAGAAAAGAAGGCAGAGGCGGGCAAGAAAACGGAAAATCCAGAGGCAGGCAAGAGGATATGATTGAGGGGCTCAAAAGCAAAAGAGCAAGAAAGTGCGAGGAAAAAGAAAACATACTGCATACAGCCGCTCTGATCGTATGCACTCGAGAGACCAAAGGTGGGGGAGAAAGCAAGGGCAGGCCAACGGGAAGGGGAAAAGAAAGACAAAGAAAGTGAAATTGACAACAAAAACGAAAAGAAAACGAACAGAATGTGAAAAAAAAGAAAGAAAAAGAAAACAACGTGCATGATATCAGCACTGGGCGGAGCGGCATTGCGGCGCGTTGCGGCGCTCTCTGCACCGACTGCATTCATTGCCGTTTTTTAGTCGGCCATGTTTCTCTGTGTGCAGCCTTTTGGGGGGGGGCGTCAGGGTCTAGACACGGAAGAGATGCAGACAACAAAAGCAAACATCGGTTCCGCGGCTCCATTGCCACGCAGTATTCTTGCTGCATGGCAGCGTCCACAGCCCTTGTTGCTTTCTTTTTTTGTTCCCTTCTCGTTCGTGCCGTATTTCGCTCGATTTCCTGTTTCCTGCCTGTCTATTCCTGTCTTCAGTTCTGTCTTCAGCTCTGTCTTCAGTTCTGTCTCACCTCCTGGTTCATACTGCAGCCTTCCAGCTCGTCAGTTTTCTTTCTTCTTCTCAAAGATGGCACCGCTCGTTCGCTGATCAGATGCAGGCAGAGACGGCTGTCTCAGTCGAAAAAGACCGTGCATGCTGCGCTCTGCACACTCGGCAGGCGATCTCATAATCGAACCGTTGTCCCGATTGCATCGTGTGTGCCGATCCGCTTCTCAGCCTCGTCTGATTGTTCCTCGCTCCCCGATCCAGCATCCAAGATTCTATTGTTGTTGTGTTCTTGCTCTCCTTCCCGGAGTACTTAACTTTGGCTCCTCCCCAAACCAGCGCTTCCTGGGTATTCCAGGGTATTCCAGGGTTTTGCTCGTCCCGTCGTACCTTCCCTCGATAGCAGTTGCTTGTCAAAACCACACACAATATTGCACGTGTCACACCCGAGTAAACTCCCCCATCTGTGGCTCAGGTCAGCTAACCACGGTCTAGGTAAACGGTCAACGCTGCTCCGGAACACAACCATGGCCACCACGACGTTGGTCGACGACATCCCCATCGAGCGGTGCGCATACCACACCCATATCCGTGAATGCTTCACCACCGAGATGGACCGCTACATGGCCGACCGAGAGACACGCTTCCTCGACGGTACGGGCATCAGCCACCACGATCTCGACAATGACCAGCCCTTGTTCCCGGACTTTCTCAACGTGCACACGGCCGGACAGCACGACCCCCGCATGCGGACCATGGTCGAGAACTTTATGGTGGCTCGCCTCAGCATCCCCATGGGCATCGACTCGGACGGCCTGCCTGTTTTGTGCTCTGGCCCGGCCACATCCACGTCGGCGTCGCTCGATGCCATTGAGAGCGCCCGCTTGGCCATGTCCCAAAAGGCGCTGGCGAATGTCCGTGTCGACCGGTCCCACGCCGCCGTCCAAAAGGTCATCGACCTCGCCTTTGCCACCGTGTCGTACGTCAAGGCCTTGCATTGTCTGCACGACCAGGCCCGGGACCGGGACCGGAGCCAGGATCAGAACAGTGACCGCTGCGCCCACAGCGCGTCCAGCGCCGACCAGCGCCGCATCCTGTCGCTGCGCGGCCTCATTACCGCCTACGAAACGGAGCGCAGCGTCTTGTGTCTGGCCCGCCGACTCATCCGAGACCACCAAAAGAACAAGCAGCGCGCGCGTGTGATTGCCGCCGCTGTCGACGAGCGCATGCGCCTCTGTCGCCTCGCCCTGGCCGAGGACGAGGACGAGCAGGCCACAATCAACAAGGACGACCTGACCGCCGCCGCCATTGCCTCGCATGCCAAGTGCCTGCACGTCACCATGGCCCGGGACAATATGCGGCACCGGCGGCAGGAGGAAGAGGGCCGGGCGGCGGACACAGAAAACGCCCCGCCCTTGAACCTGCCCATCGCGACACTGCCGGCGATGCTGCGCACGGCGCCGCGGATCACCCGCCCAAAGAGACTGGTCCTGCAGAGCGAAAGCGCGCAGACGTGCAGCGCGGCCACGTCCGATGCCGTGGTCAAGTACGTTGCCGCCGAGCACGCGCTGCAGGCGATGAGACAGGAGTGCCGTGTCCAAGGACTGCGCATGCCCAACATCCAGTTCCACATCTACCCCGTCCACCACTTTGGGCGGATGGCCGTCTCGTTCTATACGAACGCACGCCCGGGCCTGGGCACGCAGAGAGTACAGGCTGAGATCAAGCAAGAGGAGGACGACAAGGACTGGTGAGGCGTCAAACACTATGGGGATTCTTCGATATGGCTATGACTCAATAAAGGGTGTGCTGGAAACATCTGGACGTGTCTTGAATATGGGTTTGGGTTTTTGTTTACAAGTTTCAAGTTTGATTTTATCTGCAGTCTTGCTTTACAAGTTGTCAAGCGTTGGCTACTACTGCCAACTCGCTTCTATTTGATTTTTATCGCCACCAAAACGATGTGCACCCCTTGTCATGAGCACAAGTAGAGTAGTGATGCATGACCCGTTTGGGCATCGCATATAAAAAGAACTTGCATGAATTTCGGAGGGTAGCTAATATTGTCTCGTGGAATATTTCCAACCGAAAAGCCGAAATATCTTAAACAAAAAATTAGTCGGTTACAAACCCAGCGTACAAAATACTGGGGGCAAACGAGAAAGTGCGCCCGAGGTAAGAAGCGACAATATCATGACAAACTTGAACCCCAAGGGCCCAGACGACGATCTGGGCACCATCCACTACGCTTGGCTCGCCAACAACACCCGCGACTGGGCCGACTTTGTGCACTCCTTTGTGTGCTCCTGTACCGTCCACCGCGACCATCACGTCCGCCATGCACTCGCGCTCGACGGGCGCCATGGCCTCCAAGCCGCCGACGCCTTCTTTGGCGACCTCCGCCTCCGCTACATTTCCGTCGTCCAAAAGGCCCAGGGCCCCTACCACCGCCCGCCCTACAAGGACATTCCCTCCATCGCGCCCCGCATGCCACCCAACGAGCTCGCCTTTGACCGCGCCGTCTACGACATCTTCTTTGGCGGCATCCACACCGCCCAGCGGCCCCAGCTAGTGGCCCAGCAGCTGCAGCCGCACTGCGACCGCCTTCACAGCCCCTGTCCACGGCCCTCGCCGCCCGATTCGTGGACGGAGACGCCCGAGGAAAGGCGCGCCACGGCCAGCCTGCTGGCGAGCACCGAGGCCGTGGCCGGCGCCGTCGAGGAGGTGGCCCGACGGGTGCGCAGAGCCTGGGAGGAGCACGGCATACACCCGGCGAGCGTGAGCATGGTGGGGTACGTCAGCGCCGCCAACGGCGACGACGATGAAGATTGTGACAGCGACGAGGACTACCATTGGGTGCGAAAGAGAATGAGGCAAGTTCTTTGGCGGCAAGGTGTGGTAAAGTTCATATCATGCAAAGACGGCGTTGCTTTTTGGTGATTAAATTTTGAAGTTAATCTGCCTTTGGTATGTTTGTTTGGACAACTCGAGAACAAGTATTTATTATTTTCGTGCATTGGACATTTGCATTGACGATGTGACTAAATTTTCCCCGGAGGGAAAACAAACAACCTCCGTTTCAATTTCGTTTTTTTTTTTTTTTTTTTTTCCTAAGAAATTGAAAAGGCACATTTTACAAACCAGTCAAGAAAGTATACAGTGATGAAAAATAAGAAACGAAGCAAATTTAAATATATATGAAAATATTGGTCATTTGATTTTCTTTGCTGATTTTCCGGAGCGACTACAGGCGACCAGGACAACGGCCAGAGAATAAAAGTAAACAAACCCTGGGGCTTTTCATTGCAGCAGCCACAATCCCAAAGCAAACAATATTAATATAACTGTATACGCTCTGGAATGAAGGGTACGCTATTTCAGAGAATAAAATACAACACATTTATTGGCCTACATTATCGACCTCAGTTGTCATGTTGCTGCCATCGATTTTCAAATCTCGACGATTCTCGTTAAATTCGTGGTGTCATTACGTGTCAGTGGTTTTTCAGTGGTTGTACTAGCGCAGTTTTCGTGATCGGGCCTGCGGCGCTGAACGAATCTAATGTATCAGACATGGTTACATAATGTGGCTGAATACGTGGCGTTGTGGCGCGGGCGTGCTGACTCATCCACTGTGTTGTTCGCGATGCGACGTCACCACTACAAACTCGCAAAGTGTGCCAAAACGCTTGCCTTTTCAAGCACAGTGATAACCGTGCGTCTTATGCACTGTCTGATTGCAAAATCAAAATGCACGACATCATGACGTGCAGGATGCAAGACATACTTTGCATTGCGGCCGATGCGCGGGGACCAACTTTGGGAGGGCGGGACGCGCACGGGAAGGACGGGAAGGGCGGGAAGGACGGGAGATGAGCTTGATGGGCAGTATGAGACGAAATACGGGAGAGGGAGGGGCGACGCAGAGAGAGTGTGTGAGGATGCGTGGCTCTGTGGCACGATGAAGGGAAATGTGCAGCACGTGGAGCCACGTTTGAATGCGACGTTGGACGGCACAAAGCGCTCATGATGGTGGGGTTAAGGTGGCATGGGCTGCGAGGCGGCCGAGCAGAGAAGCCGAGCGTCAAGACGGGTGTGCAGTAGCAGAAAGGGATATGCCATTCTGGGGTCGTAGGTGTCGATTGTCTGCTCTTCACTTCCGTGTTTTTTTTTTCTTTCAAGAACGGGTAGCTGCGTAATCTTGCATTCCATCTTGCATATCGCATCTTGCATCAACGATTCTCAGATTCAACTTGTCGACGCCGACCACAGCTTCTAGCATTTCTAGTCAGAGACCTGCGTCAACTTGTATGCTCCAGGTTGTCACCTTGCATTGTTTCCTCTTGCAGCATTCATTTTTGCAAGCATCCTGGCCATTTCCCGCGGTCAAATGTGTTTTTTGTCGAGACGGGTAACTGCGTAATCTCGCAGCTACTTTGCATGTTCCATCTTGCATGGCGAGTGTGCTCTGCACCAATCAGCGTTTTATCAAAAGCCGCTGCCTGCCTAATCTTGCATAATTCAATTTTTCATCTTGCATATTGTGGCTGTTTCATGTTTTGCCATTTGTTTCATCTTTCCAATGTTTCACGTTTCCTGTTGTTTCATTTGCAGACAATTTTGCATCACGGATTTCAAAGCGCAGTACTGCATCTAGTGCGGGAAAACATGAGGGATTGCAGCAAAATGCCTGGGTGTTGCCACCCGTGTGATTTGTATTTCATCAGGTCGTAAACTTTTTGTATATATGCAATCTATTTCCTAGAATTGAACCAAAATGACCAAAACGCTCAAGCATCCAAATCGACGAAACGTGTCTAATACGAGTCCCTGTGACCCGAGATGCGGCGGAATATGTTGCTGTGCGATGGAGCCTGCTCATCGCGCCGTGTCGAGCGTCTCTCTGGGGTGCTGCGACTGCTGTTGGTCGTGTTTGCATTGCCCCTAGCCGCCAGTGCTGCATGGTTGAAGTATGCATAGACACTGCTGGCCAGCACGACCAGTGTGGCCGTGCTGCTAAAAGCGTAGGTTGCTGCCAGCACACCGGCAAACACGGCCAGAGGTGTGCGAGAGACGGGGTTGCCTGGAGATTTGCCGGACATCGGGCCGGCCGCAGATGTTGCGGTAGTGACGGCCGTGATGACTGACGGGACAAAGTAGACGACGGCGGCGCCAAGAACGGCCATTTGCAGTATCGACACGATAAACGACACCAGCACGGAGACTAGGATGGACACGGCAATAATGAGAACGGGCATCATGGGTCCCCGGAGATGGGGCCGAATGGACGCGCCGAGAGACTGCATGGTGCTGGCATGGTCGGCATAGAGCTGGCTGGCGGTGGAGTGCAGGAGGGCGAAGTGGTCGGCCGAGGCCAACGATGCGAGATTCATGTTGTTGAAGTTGAGGCTCCACGGGAAGGAGACCGCCTTGGGGGAAGATGGAGAGGCAGGCGATGTCGACAACACCGCGGCGGGTCCGAACTTGGACAGCATGGGAGCAATGTTGCTGGGGTCGATGTCGGGCGGCACGTCGAGGTCAAAGTTGTGTATTCGGGAGAAGACGCCATTGGTGTTCATGGCGGATGTGTGGAGGAGTTGGAGATGGTGATGGAAACAATGTTGATGGCAGCGAGAAATGAGGAACGAGAGAAGAAAAAGAATGGCCCCATGCTTGATATAAAGGGCCATTCTGACATACGGACAAAGTAATACGGGACTTGGCGGCTCGGCCACGCTCGGAAAGACCCCACGTTCGCTTTGTGGCTGTGGAGAGGCAGGCGCGAGCGATGCAGGAGGAGCGATGTAGGTACAAGGCACCAAAGGGACTACAGGGACTACAGGGTGCAAAAGACATGCCGTTCGCTGCTGTGAGCCGTAGCACAATGAGGTACTACCCGGGACTTTCGATTTCTACAGCTTGTACACGGCCGACGGAGCTCAAAGAAAGCCCAGCTCCGAGAATAATGAAGCACCCTCTGACGTAGTTGTGAAGAAGAGATAAGGGTGCAAAAGGGCCACGAGAGTCAGCGAGTCACTTGAAAGACAAAAGGGGCGTCAGAGACAAAAGGGTCGTACTACCACGTTGCTATCCGAGACAGGACAAGGGTCGTTGGGGGTCAGAGACAGAGCCCAACGGGCAGCCTGGAACTCTCAGGGTAGAGCTGTCGTGCAATGACGAAGGTTCGCTTGCTGTGCAGTTTCTTTGTGGTGGGAATCGATGGAAGCTTTTTGAGTGCTTCTCAAAACCCTTCACATGGCCACAACCCTTTGTCGCTAAACGCAGAATGGGGAACGATGGAGTCGGCGAGACAAAGAGGACAAGTTACGCGAACAAAGGAACAAAGAAAGCAGAGCAAGGGCGACGCAAATGGTTCGAGGCCGACAACAAAGTACTTCTGACCCAGCGTGAGCCAAAAGGACCAGAGAGAACAAAGACGACAAAAAAGTACTTTCGCAATAGCGCATTGTGCACTGAAAGCTCACCTACAGCACCGCCCTGTAGGCGTATTTTTAGGGGATTCGTCGCGAATTTGTGCTGACCTTGTGACAGCTGACGTCGCTCCAGCAGGCGCCACAGCGCTCCCGTGGGCGCAGCAGCCTCTGTCAGCACCAGCGCCATTGCTCTTTGCCGCCCGTTTCGGCACCCAAGCTGTCAGCGTTCGCTGTACAATCCCCAGAGAGCACAAAGGACAAGATGCCTTGTGACATACGGCGCTCTCTCGTCTTGCGCTGTCACCTTGTGTTTGACAGGCTGACATAAGAAAAAGGACAAAGGTGGGTCTAGAACCAGAGGCCGGAACATCGTGTGACTCCGGAAGCATCGTCAACAGCGCCTCTCCCGACGTCCAACTTCCCTTACTTTCCAATGACGTCGGTCGGGACCCTGTGAGCCTCCAGGGTGTCCATTGAACCCTTTTGATTGTCTTGTCATCGACAAAGCGGAAAATGAGCCTCATAAGAAGGTCACGGTGATGATCACGTGACTGACATTTGGTCTGTGACCTGTAAGTGCGTGACTTGGCGCTGCAAACCGCACTGTGGCTCGAACACTTGACTGCTGGGAAAATACGAACGCACATGAGAAGGGAAAACATATCAGCGCATCTAGGAAAGAAAAGAGAAGAAATGCAAATATTACAAGAAATACGAAGAGATGAAAAGTAAGATAGCTTGATCCATGGCCATAAATTGTCAAGCGCAGTACATCTGAAAGCAATTCAAAGTCTATTCTACTTGACCGTATCGTGAGCTCAAAACTGACGGTGATATGACGGAGGTGTGAATGCGAGTTGACATGCAAAACTAACAAATACTGAAATACGAAATGAAAGCGACGGCAACATAGGCCTCTGCCTTGAGCAATGAAGACGCTCCTTCTCATCGGGGTACAAAATCTGTGCCATATCGTTAGTTCTTATGTTTATCGACAAATCCACCCTACAAAACTACTGGCAGTCATTCACAAGCAAAAACTCTCAGAATTATGATCCATCGTCACGGACGGGACCACTTGCTCACTTACTCTTTCTATTAATTTATCACGGTCCTACCTTCTCCTCGACAGTACGGCACAGTCGACTTCATGTCGACCTTATGCTCATCCACACCGCTCTCCCTGCATCGGTTCATCAATTTGACCTCAACAACATCTCGAAACCCTGGCATCGCTCTGTCACTTTATAATAAAACCCAGAACAAAATACTTCACTTTTGTGCCAGACAGTCATCAATGTGTGCTCACCATCAGCTGGGTCACAATAGCGTTATCTCTCACCTCGGGGTGGCTTGACAACGAATGTTTACATCAAAAGTACACGATATCCCAAACTCCACATACCCTTGCCCGCCTGACAATGCAAACTCGCTTGACCCATGCAAAAACCTCGTGCTATGCTGAACAAAAACAACGACGGAAAACAAGACAAAACAAGACATACTCAACAACCCTCTTGAACGCCAAATTCGACAACAAGGTCACCACTCGAGATCCCGCATGCCGCGTCGCGCCAGGATCGCCACCAACGGCGCCTTTGTCCGCTCGACCTTGGCCTGCACCGCCCGCTCGGCGCGCACAAAGTACACGGGGCACGCCAGGTTCTCGCACCGCACCTCGTCGCGCGGCGCCAGGCCGGCACAGCTGCGGCACCCGTCGGCCACGGCCTGGTACGCGCGCTCGGCGTCCCGCGCGCGGGTCTGCAAGTCGAGCAAGGTGCCCAGGTTGTCGCGGCCGCAGGTCTTGCAGAGGACGGGCGTCTTGTCGTTGGCCGTCTTTGGAACCGCGCCACCTCTACCAGCACCACCACCACCGCCCATCCCGGCGGGCCACCGCCGCCGCTTGCGCCGCACGGGCTGGTCGCAGCGTGCACACCGCGCGCCCCGCAGCCACGTGTCGAGCGTCTGCTGGCCCACGTAAGCCGCGCCCACACCGCTCCCGCCGCCGCCGTCGGCCATCACCTGCTGCGTCGGTGCCGGGTCGGCCGTCCGCAGCGGCATGCGGGCCTTGGGCATCTCCAAGTACCAGCGCAGCACGTCGACGCCCACCAGCCGCAAGATGCGGTCCAGCGGCGGCACGAGGCTCTTTTGGATGTAGTAGTCCGAATCGACGCGCAGGTTGCGGTTCTTGGCCACGTCCTCGGGCGGCACGCACCGGTCGCGCAGCGCCATGTCCGGCGGCCCGGCCACCACCACGTAGGGGACGCGCTCGCCGTGCACCAGGGTGGCCCGCGGGTCGTGGGCCGCGCGGCGTGCGGCCACGACGGCGCCCGGTGGTGGCGCGCGATACGACGTTGGCTGGCGCACTTCTTTGGCAAAGCACAGGTCGGGAACCGAGAGCCGGTCGTTCATGACGTCGCCGAAGCGGGCCTGGACATACGCCTTGACGCGGCTGAGGTCGGCCGTGTCAAACAGGATGCGCAGGCACTCTTCCAAAATCTTGGCCGAGGCCGGCGAGCCGTCGCGCCGGACCGTCTCGATGCCCTTGGCGTCAAAGATGGGCTCGGTCTGCTGCGGCGTATCGAACTCGTACCCCACGTACCGCTTCTTGGTGAGCAGCACGCACGGGTGGTACACTTTCTCGAATTTCAGTCGGACCGGGTGCGGGTTGGACGCTGTCACGGCCTCGGCCATCTCGGCACCCAACGCAAAGGCCTCCTCCCGTGTCCGGCCGGGTAGGTGAACAAACAGGCTGTCGGTGTCGCCGTACACGACCTCCGCATCCCAGCGCTGCACCGAGTGAATCAGCGCAATGGCCTTGTCCAGTGTCTGCCGCCCGGTCTGGACAATGCTGTCGGCCACCTCAACACACGGCATGCGACCAGAGAACGACGCCGACGTATAGCCATATGTGACGTTGGCCAGCAGCTTGAGCGCCAGCTGCCGGTTGTTTAGCCGCTGGCGTTCGGCGATTTTGTGTGCTGCTGTTTTCTTCATGGCCGCCTTGACCATGGCCCGCGTGTCGAGAATTTCTGCCAGCATCTTGGCCAGCAACGACTGCCGCGTCCGGGCGTCAACGTACATCGTACCCGTCGGCGAGACCACGATGCCGAGCTGAGACAAGCGTTCGAGGAGTCCTAGAGGCCGTTCATATGTCGTGAAGCCCATCCGGGTGGCGGACTTTTCCTGGTGCTTGGCGATCAGGTCGGCCGTGTCACTGTCGACACTCCCAGTGGCCTTGCTTTGGGCTGTATCGCCGCGGTCGATGTGGTTCTCGACGTTTTCGTATCCATTCGGACGTGGCGCGGGCGGTCGGCCTGCTGTTGCAGCCGACAACTTCTTCTCATGGTACAGAGGGTCCAGCCGGCCAGCGTAGGTCGAGTAGCAGAGGTTGTACGCAATCATCAGACTCGGATACAAGCTGGTAAAGTCCAGCACGACGACGGGGCTGCTGTAAAAGGCGCTTCTCGGTTCCAGCACCAGCGGCGTGCACTCGGCCGCGTTCTGCTGCCCGACCTGTTCGTGGTTGGGCGATGGCATCACAAAGTTTTCCGGTTTGGCCACACGCAGCATCACCGATTCCACCTTGAACTGGGACCCGCGGTCCAGCACGGAGGCAAAGTCGACGCCAAGCACCCGAGCCTGTTCGCTAGTGCGAGACACGAGCTCGGTCGCCTCGATGAGGGCAAGTCCGATGGCAGTGCGGCGCCGGTAGTGACGCATAAGCCGGCTAAGGTCGCCTGGCCGGCCACTCGCGGCCCAGGCGGTCAGTACTTCAGCGCGATAAAACGGCACGCGGCGTCCGAGAACATGCCATGCCGCAGTTTCGAGCGTGTACTGACGAAGGTCGACCGTGGCGCGCATGGCCTGGTTGATCGAGAGCATGTAGCGTCCGGTAACGCCTTGGTCCTGCTCGTGGAACGGCACAACGCGCTGCTGGGGAACACGGGATAGTTCTTTCCAGAGGTCGACATCGAGCAGGGCAGCGCGTTCCTTGAGGTAGCCCCAGGAGGAGCCGATGGCCTCGTATCCAGCAAGAAGGTCGGGGTCGAGGAGGTGCACCAGTCGGATAACAAGACGGATCAGGTGCATCTCGCTATCGGCCACGTCCACGCAAAAGTCGTCGCGCAGTGATCGGCCGACAGAGATGACGCCGCCGTTCTTGTTGCCAAGGTGAAGGCCGTCAATCACGCCGTCCATGGTGATTTCGCCGCCGCCTACGCATCGCCAGAATACGCATTGAACGACGTCTCTCTCGGGGTTTGGCAAAAAGGTGCCACGCGAATCTGCATGCACTTCCAGGCACAACGTACGCATGTCCAGTTGCAGGCCCGCCTTTGGTGTGCGGAGAGCGGCGCGTTGTTCCTGAGAGAGCTGGCTCTGCGTCATCTGCTGCTGCATCGATTCAATTTCTAGAGACTCCTTTCGCCTGGCGGCTTCCTGTTCCTGCTGCTCGGTTTCCAGCCAAGCATTGACATCTGCTTGCGAGGGCGGGAGGAGCGCGAATTCCCATGACTTGATGGTGCCAGAACGCTGTGGTTGCCCTTTGTGGGTTTGATAAGAGACGTCGATCTTTGAGTCTGGACAGGGCGAGAACGCCGGGAGGACAGGGACGAGATGTTCTGGCCCGGCATGGCTGTTCTTGTTCTTGTGAAAGTCGGATGCGTTGCTAAAGTGGGCATCTTGGTGCAGTTCCGCGTCACCGAATTTGCCAAGAGATGCCATCACGTCCTCGACAGATGGCGGTCGCTGTGAAAAGAGCAGCACGTTTTCCGTCGCGCGGTAGAATGGTCCGAGGTGCTCAATGGATTTGGCCATAGTGGCATTGTCACACACATCCGTGTCGTTGTCTGGTGATCCCGGGACGACATCGACCTCGTGTTTCTTGGTTTTGCTTTCACGGCGTGGCGTGCCCAGTTTCTCGAGTTCGTCATCGGGGGTCGAAGGGATTACAATGTCCACCTCGTCGTCGTCGTCGTCGTCGTCGTCCTCGCCAACGTCCTCCTCCTCATACCCATCCTCACTCTCATTGTCGCCCTCGATTTCGTCTTCAGATACGATCTGCGACTGGGACAGCTTCGTTTCCGAATCGTCTCGCGCAAAAGCTGATTTGACCACTGGAAATGTTTGCGAGAGCGGGCGGTGGTTGCCTTTAGCATCGCCGGCATTCTTTCTCCACGATAGAAGCTCCTGCGATCGACGTGGCTCCAACTGCGCGTGTTGGCTGCGCAGCAATTCGTTGCTGCGCGTCGCCGTGTCGGGCGCCTTCTCGTGCTTAGCGAAAATCGAGCCGAGTTGCTGCTCAAAGTCAGGCGAAGGGCACGGACGGCTTGCATCAAGCTGCTGTGAGCTGCTCAGTCTCGCTTTCTTTGCGTAAGTACCTGGGGCATCCATGCCGTTTGCAGCCGTCTCTTGGCTCTGCTTGCGACCTCGTTTCCGCTTCTTATTGTCTGACCGCGCCGATTTTGGGTAAAAGTCTTCAACGGACTGCCGAATTGTTGGCAGATCTTTTTCGAGAGGTTCTCGTACGCGCGGAGGGCCTGTGTTCCGGAGTCGCTCGGCCGCAATGATGTCGGCAATCTGCTCGCGGTATTCCTCTTCGTGGATCCATGGCGAAGGCGTTCGCCGCGGGTCAGACGACGAGGCGCCGAGCTGTGCAAATGCTTCCTGGGTGCTGATCGATTCCCAGACCTTGCGCTCCTCGGCGCTCTTCTTGCCCTTCTTGTTGTAACGCGCGGCCATCTCCCGCCAGAGCGCGGCCATGCTGTACACCAGCCGCTCGTTGGGTTTGTTCGGTGTCTCGGGGAGAGTCTCGTGCTGCCAGCGCTCAGGAACAGCGTGGCGGTTGCGGATGCTGAACGCAGCAACGTCCACTTCCAGCGGGCAGCTTCGAACAGACGCGGCCGGCGCCCGGTACGAGACTTCGGACGCTGTGGCTTCGAGCAGGTCGCAGCCGTACAGGTTGTAGTCGGTCATGAACTGGAGAAGGAACGGGATGTGCGATTCTTGGGGCATGAGCTGGGGAATGCCTCCAATGCGGCCCTTGCGCAGCATCTCGGCGACGCGAGTCATCTGGGACGGGTCGTAGAGGTAGATCTTGAGATACGGCCGAAACCCGACGTGGAACCCGTAAAAGGGGATACCACGCACAAACGTGATGGCGAGGACAGTGGCCCGGCCAGCCGCACGGTCAATGCCATTGCGGAGGGTCGCGATGATGCGGTCGGACTCCTCGAAGCGGAAGCTGTCGTACGGAACAAAGACATAGGGAAAGACACCGTGGATGTGGGCACAGGCGATCTGCCCGCTGGCCGTGGCACCGAAGACGCGGATGACAGGCACGCGCACCTCCTTGTCCGTCGCCTGGTCGGCGTCGTTGCCGCCATTCTTGCCGTCTTTGGCAGTGCTGCTGTTGTTTCTCGCGATGGGCGCGCGCGATGCTGCAAAATCGGCCTTGGAAGGGGCCGCTAGACAGTAGTCGATGCAGTGGATGCGCACCTGGAACATTGTCGCGACCGACGCATTGTGTGCTGGAGGCTATGGGCAGGCTGTATCATGGAAGGTCGTGGGTGCGTGCTGTTCCATGGCGTTGTGTTTGGGTGTTGTGTTGTGCTAACGGGTGATGCTTGAGACGTGGTTCAACAACGCGTGTAAGGCATTTAGGCGGGACGGCCAGAAATGCATGGAGAAACAAAACAAAGGACAGCGCGATCGCCAATTGCCGTTTTAGGTGGCTGGTCAGGCCTTGCGGCGACTTACAGAGCCTGTGGGGAAGTTTCAGCAGCCACAGCGGCTTATGACAGCTGGCTACAGGTGGCTCCAGTGGCGCGCAGGCAATCTTCAGCACATTCCAGGCACCGACTGTTTCGGAAGCTGGTTTGTCCGGCTCCCGTGACGTAACATGTACAACACCCGCGGCTCCAAGCGCCTGCCAGATTGGGCAGCTCCCGCTGTCTATCCACCAACGCCTGCCAACGGCAGCCACGTTTTTCCGGTGGTCGGAGTAGCTGACGCCACCATTTGCGTTGCTCTACTGAGGCGGAGCTTGTCTGGTTCGAGGCAGCAGTATTCCATTCTAACCGGATCGTACCTTCCCACCCCAGCCTCCCGCCAAACTCCAGCGGCCGCGACATCTCTCACCTACCGCATTGCCGCATCGTGCGCCGTTTGCAAGGCACGAAATTGCAGCACAGCTTCGCACGCACGCATCACAGCTTTTTGCGTGCCATTCTCCTGATCGCACGACCACCACTCATTTCCCGCAATCCCCGCAGCCCCTGCGCTGTCCAAGCAAACTGCGATCGTCCACCAGGCCATCCGTCACCGCCAGGGGCACGTTCGCCCAACATGTCGACCCAGGCCCATGCAAAGTTTGTTCTCGTTGCCCATTGACTGGCGCTTGTTGCTGTCGGCTTGAAAGTTGTAAACTGACCTCGTTTCTCTCTGCTTGCCCCAGGACGGACCGGGAGCTCGCCGTCAACATCCAGAAAGCGACCAACCCCGAGGAGACGGCGCCGAAACGCAAGCATGTGCGTAGCTGCATTGTCTACACATGGGACAACAAGTCGTCGCTGGCCTTCTGGGCCGGTATGAAGGTGTATGTCTCTGCTGATGCGCCAGTCAGATCGATGTGAGCGGTGTCCGAAGCTAACCGTTGCTCCCATTGCCCCCGTTGCCCGTGTCTAGCCAGCCGGTCCTCGCCGACGAAGTCCAGACGTTCAAGGCCCTCATCACCGTGCACAAGGTCCTGCAGGAGGGCCACCCGATCGCGCTCAAGGAAGCCATGGCCAACCGTGGATGGATTGAGTCGCTTGGCCGCGGGTCCGAGGGCATGCGCGGCTACGGCCCCCTGATCCACGAATACGTGCGCTACCTGCTGGCCAAGCTCGCCTTCCACCACCAGCACCCCAACTTCAACGGCACGTTCGAGTACGAGGAGTACCTGTCGCTCAAGCTGATCAACGACCCGAACGAGGGCTACGAGGTCATCTCCGACCTCATGTCCCTGCAAGACAAGATCGACACGTTCCAGAAGCTCATCTTTGCGCACTTCCGCCACTCTGCCAACGAGTGCCGCATCTCGGCCCTTGTGCCCCTCGTGCAGGAGAGCTACGGCCTGTACAAGTTTGTCACGAGCATGCTGCGCGCCATGCACCAATGTATGTGTTCCCGTTTTTTTGTTTCTTTCAGATTTTGTTGAGGTGCCAAGGCTGCTGGTTGGCAACATTGTCTCACACTCACGTCTTCCTTCCCCTCGCACAGCGACTGGCGACGACGAAGCTCTTCAGCCCCTCCGCGAGCGTTACGATGCCGAACACTACCGCCTCGTCAAGTTCTACTACGAGTGCGCCAACCTCCGCTACCTCACATCGCTCATCACCGTCCCGAAGTTGTCGGCCGATCCCCCCAACCTGTTGGCAGACGATGCCACCGCGCCCGCCCTCCCTGCGCGCCCCAAGCAAGAGATCGAGCGTGCCCCCTCCCCACCACCGGCCGAGCCCAAGTCCGACGAGCCCGACGAGATGTCCGAATTCTGGAAGAGCGAGCTGGAGCGCCAGAACCAGGAGTTTGCCGACCAGCAGCGCGTGCTCGAAGAGCGGGCGCAGCAGCAGGCCCTGGCGCAGCAGCAGGCCGCCCTCCGCGCCCAGCAGGAATTTGAAGAGCAGCAGCGCCTCCTGGCCGAGCAGCAGCGACGCGAGCAAGAAGCGCTGGCGGCACAGCAGTCGCAGTGGCAGACGCAGGGCCGCCTGGCCGAGCTGGAGCGCGAGAATTTGAACGCGCGCGCCCAGTACGAGCAGGACCAGCTGCTGCTGCAGCAGTACGATGCCCGCGTCAAGGCGCTGGAGGGCGAGCTGGCGAACCAGCAGGAGAATGCGAACCGCCAGCAGGGCGCAAAGGACGACCAGATCCGCGCGCTGCAGGAGCAGGTCAACACGTGGCGGTCCAAGTACGACGCACTCGCCAAGCTGTACGCGCAGCTGCGCCACGAGCACCTGGACCTGCTGCAGAAGTTCAAGACGGTGCAGCTCAAGGCGGCGTCGGCACAGGAGGCCGTGGACCGACGCGAGAAGCTGGAGCGCGAGCTCAAGACGAAGAACCTGGAGCTCGCCGACATGATCCGCGAGCGCGACCGCGCCTTCCACGACCGCGACCGGCTCAAGGGCTCCAACAAGGACGACGTCGAGCGTCTGCAACGCGAGCTGCGCATGGCGCAGGACAAGGCCGACAACTTGGAGCGGTCCAAGGGCAACGAGCTCTCGACCATGGTGTCCAAGTACCACCGGGAGCTGGCGGATCTCGAAGAGGCGCTGCGCCTGAAGAACGTGGCCCTCGATGAGGCCCGCGGCCAGCTCAGCAACGGCTCGACGGATCTCGAGCGCGCCCTGCGCGACAAAGAGGACGAGCTGGCCGTCTACAAGGCCGGCATGGACCAGGCCCTGGAGGAGCTGGAGGTCCTCAAGGAGGGACAGGTGAGTGCCAATCGGCGCCGTGCCTACGTATGTGTTACATTTCATATTTTATTTGCTGACCCTCTTCTCACTTTAGTCCGCCGACCACGAAATTGACACGCTCCTCGTGGGCAAGCTGGACGACCTGATCGATGCCGTCCTCGATGCCGCCGCCGCCCGCGTCGACGACTCCCTCTACGAGCTCGACTCGACCCTCCACGCCGGCAACCCGTCGGCCCTCCCTCCCTACCTCATGTCCCAGGTCGAAAAGGCGTCGTCGGCCGCCATGGAGTGTGCCACGGCCTTCAACAACTACATTGCCGACGGCCCCAACACGCCGCCAGCGGCGCTCGCCGACCTGCCCAAGAACATCTCGACGCTTGCCAGCTCGGTGGCCGACCTCGTGCCCAGCGTCAAGGGCATTGCGCGGCGCACGACCGACGACGACAAGCTCATCAACGCCGCGCGCGTCGCCGCGCAGGCCACGGCGCGCTTCTTCCGCAATTTGCAGAGCTGGCGCCTGGACGGCCTCGACGCGATCCAGAAGACGGATGTGGTGATCAACGGCAACAACGATGTGCAGCTGACGCTGCAGGCGCTCAACAAGCTGGTGGATGTTCTGCCGCGCGGCTTCACGCTCGGCAAGGGCGGCGACCCGGGCGAGATTGTGGAGAAGGAGCTGGCCAAGGCGGCGGACGCGGTCAAGGCGGCGGCGGCGCGCCTGGCGGCGCTGCGCAACAAGCCGCGGGACCCCTTTGCGGCGTACAAGGTCGAGGTGCACGAGGCCATTCTGGACGCGGCGGGCGCGGTGACGTCGGCCGTGGCCGAGCTCGTGCGCGCGGCGGCGGCGGCGCAGGCGGACATTGTGCAGGCGGGCCGGGGCGCGCAGTCGCGGACGGCGTTCTACAAGAAGAACAACCGCTGGACCGAGGGCCTGATCTCGGCCGCCAAGGCGGTGGCGGCGTCGACCAACACGCTCATCGAGACGGCCGACGGCGTGCTGTCGAACCGCAACAGCCCCGAGCAGCTGATTGTGGCGTCCAACGACGTGGCGGCCAGCACGGCGCAGCTGGTGGCGGCGAGCCGCGTGCGCGCCGTGGGCGGCCTGGCGAGCCGCACGCAGGAGGCGCTCGAGGTGGCGAGCAAGTCGGTGGGCGCGGCGTGCCGGTCGCTGGTGCGGCAGGTGCAGTCGCTGCTGAAGCCCGAGTCGGACGAGGCGGTGGACTACTCGAAGCTGGGCTCGCACGAGTTCAAGGTGCGGGAGATGGAGCAGCAGGTCGAGATCCTGCAGCTGGAGAACGCGCTGTCGTCGGCGCGGCGGCGGCTGGGCGAGATGCGCAAGATTTCGTACCAGGAAGAGTAAGGATCGGTGGCCATTGTGCATCCACATCTCTCTTCCTCACCCGCTGCGCCTTCCTTGTGTTTTCGTTCTCTCGATGTTGGCCAATTTTTACTTATCACATTAACTTTCACACTTTCAGTTGTTCATTGCTTTCATCCTTCTTTTCTACAGCTTTTGTCTTACTGCACAGTCGTCTCAAAGTTTTCTCATCCCTTTCTTGTTTTCTAGGTTGTATATAGGACAGACGAAAAAAAGAGGGTGCGTTTCTTGATGCTGACAGCACCGTACACAGATCGTGTGCACCCATATCGCGATGCACGAAATCGTTTGTCGATGCAATTCGACGAGCTTCTGCGGCACGTGATTTTTGAACTGAGAGATCTCAACATGTCGTCAACCTTTGAGCACCCCGTCACCATACCGTCAACATTGTGAGTCACTCTTCTGACTTGGAGCACGGTCCACCTCGTCACGGTCCACCTCGTCACCCACTACATCACCAGAGGACGAGTGTGTCACTACTGCCAAGACCAAGGAAGATCTCGATGAGCTCGTGTCCCCACACCTTCGTCGAGCTTCACAAAGGTCAATCGAGTGTGAGTGGAGACTTGCGAGCAACCAAGAGAAAGGCAGGTGGCTGGGAAGCGAGCTCCAAGAGCTTCAGAGCTTCGCGAGCGTCGTGAAAAATGTACATCGAGGTCAAGTACCTTTGGTACCTGCAGCAAGTGGAGCCTCTGGAGACGGCACTGAGGTGACACAACCTCACCTTTCCTCGATTGGCCCCGCTTTTATATCCTCTCCTCAATGAGCTTGCTGCTTCCCAGCCACCGCAGTTTTTTGCCAAGTCACCTGGTTTTACACTCTCGAGTGAAAGGAGGACGTGGCGAAGGAGGGACGATTTTCTTCTCTATGTGGAAAGGTACCAGTTGATGGTGATTTAGGAGAACTGGTCATCGGACAGTGCACCGGAAGGAAAAGCAGGTTAAAAGAACCAGTGTGGCCTGGCCAGAAAGCAACAGCGGCGCAATCATGGCGGTGTGCTGTTCTACAGTGGGCCTGACCCTTCAGGCTGCTGTAGTTTAGGTGCCTTACGTTGGGTATGGCCCGCTCGAACCACTGTAGCATCTCCAGTGGACGGCCATAGCGGAGGCGGCACGCCCCATCTGCGACCACGATCTGGTCCAGAATGGAACGAAATCTGCGCACAATCCATCTGTGAATGATTCCGGATGCTGTGCTCGCGCCCCTTTTTGGTTCGTCGATCGCGTCGACGACCTAGGCTTGGTTGTTCTAGAAGACCAGAAAGAAGTGGACAACGGTTCAACCAATTTAGCCTGCATTCCATGTCCCACGTACCGGGCGAAACGTCGACGCTAAGTGAGTACAGGAAATGGAAAAAGTGCCGGAGGATCTGATGTTGGATCCGAATGCCGATTGGTTGTTGCAACGACATGTCGTCATATTAATAAAGGGAAGGAAACGGCATCATGTGTTGTGAAATATGTAGGTTTTGAAAACCAAATATGAAAGAAATAAAGAATACAGAAACGTTGACAGCTGGAAAAAAAAGTAAAAGACTCCGTCCCTGTACATGCGACAGCTTGTGGTATTCCCAGCAAATACAACCGCGTAATCCTTGACCGGTGTCCATATTCCAATGTTCTCGTCGTATCCCCAGTAAATGTTGAAAAGAGGGAAGAACTGAAACGACAACAAATCTTGCACCAACAAAAGCAAAAATGACAAACTATTTGTATAATTAGAAGAGAAAACAAACGTAAAACAGACGTGGAATACACAATGAGAATAAAAAGTATTTGTGTGCAATCTTGGCAAGAAAATATGAGTGTGCAATCTAGTGGAACAAATTGAAATAGAATACAAGAAATACTAGATCCACTGGAAATCGCTCGTGGTATCGAAAACATCTGCCTGACGTTAGTAACACCACTGGTTTTATAACAATCGTAGAACATGTCTAAACGTACCATGGCTCGTCCCCAGCTCCTCGCAAAAACTCATGAAGCGGTGCATCGCCCCCGGATCGGCAAAGTCCATGTCCATGGGGCCTGCCATGCCAAAGTAGTCGTCGACCTCGATGTAGTCGTCGTCCGCGGGCGAGTGGAGTCCACCGTGGCCCGCCGGCACCAGCGACGGTGGGGGCGGCACGGAGTCGTAGCCCGTCGTGTACGCGGCGTCGTGGTTGATGGTCTGGCTGATGGTGTTGTGGTAGTCGTACGTGGGCGTGGGCAGACCGTGCGGCATGGGCGGCATGGGCTGGAGGGCGTGTGCCATGGCGTCCGGGATGGGGATGGCGGGCATCAGTGGGATGTCGTCGGCCACGCCTGACATGCCCGGCAGCCCTTGCATGGCTTGCTCGGTGTCCATGGCCTGGAGGTCCTCGATGGTACGCATAGCATTCATGGCCTGCATGTCCTGGTAGGAACGCATCTCTTCGTCGGAGACCACCGGCATGGGTGGCATTGGTGGCATGCTCAGCATCGGAAGTAGGTTCTGCATGGGTGGCGGATGCTGCATCGGCGGGACAACCTCCGTAGATTGCAGGGGCTGCATTGCAGTCGCGGTTGGCATGGCTTGGGAAACCGAAATGGCAGGTTGCGGCCGCGTTGGAGGTGGTGATGGCGCTTGGGTGCATGAGACGGGTGGCTGAGGCTGTGCGGTGTCTGTAGTGGCTGTATTGTCTGCGATGTTTGTAGTGTCCGCAGTGACTGCGGTGGACGCAGCGGCAATGCCAGTCGACAGAGGCTGCAGTTCCTCCAGTTCCTGCGTGACAGCCGTCAAGGTCTTGGCCAGGTTCTCGCTGTATCCCTTTTTGAACGAGACCGACGGACGTTTGTGTGGGAAGGGCTCGGGCGTCTTCATGTGCTTCTTGTAGCCATTGATGGGCTCGCGCCTCCTGGATTTCTTCCTGGGGCTGATGGCGCCTTCGGGCCTCTTTCCCTTGGCTTTTTCCGATGGCCCATCTTCGGGGTCGCCGTCGTGTGAATCCGCTGGATCGACGTTTTCAGGCATCGTCGGACAGTCGCCGCCGGCCAGCTTGTCGTCGCCAATATCCGTGCTTTCACGACGCCGCTTGCCAAGGCAGCTTCCAGATAAACTTCGCATGTGTCCTGAGGTTGAGGGCGAGGCTGAGAATGAGGACGAGGATGGGAATGAAGCGGGCGCAGCTGCGGTGGCTGCTGTCGACGATTCTGCCAGTGACGCGCTCGCAGACGAAGCAGACAGACGTGCCACTCTGTCCATGTAGTTAGTCGCTTCGTTATCGCTGCCCATTGTGTCCAGATGTGTCGACAGGACGCTGTTGGGGATCTCGAAACGACCGTTGTTGGGAAATCGGCTGCTGGTAAAAGCCAGAGCATTCAGTCTTGTACTGTCGTTGGTGTTTTGGACTGTGGTCCCGTTTGTGGTGCTGATATCGTGCACTTCGTCCGGGCGGCCGCTTCGGACCGTCATGGTGTGGTCACCGGTCGAAAGATGATCGCCACTGACGCCGCCGTGATGACAAGATGTATCGTTGGACTCGGTGTTGTAGATGCGCTCCATCTCACGGTCAAGCCATTCCTTGCCGTCTTCGATGGTATTAGGGTTCGGGTTGGAGATTTGGTTGGCATCCGCACTGGTCCCGGTACAAGAGTGGTTGTTATTGTCACAGGTTTCCATATTGGTATTGTGCTCTGCGGCGACAGATGTGTCATTATCCGAGGAATGTTCTTGGTACACAACACCTGAAGCATTGCTATAAGAACGATCGTGGATCTCGTCGATGTTGCGAAGTCCATAAGAGGCCCTGCGGCTGGCAGAAGAGGATGCAACATTGCCAACTTGTCGACCTTCTTCGAATTCAACATGGTTGACCAAGATGTTTTTCTTTAAACATCCGGTATTCACCGACCGACTATTACCAACAATGCCTCTAGAATTTTCAGCTTTTGATGCTGAAAACCCTGTATTTGAAACTTTCCCGTTGAAAGTTCCGACACCTTGGATATTTGAACGGTTGCGAAGTCCGTGGCTCGAGATGATATTTTTACCGAAATGAGAAGGCTGACTGCTGAAAATGTGGAATTTCCCAGTGTCAGATGAGGATTGGTATGCCATATTTTGTGTATATGTTGGTGTCGTGTTCGCTGTTGTCTCGGACGTTTGTGCAGTCGCAACCTGACGTATAGATACTGGTGATAGAATGGCTGACTTTGCAGGTTCGGGTCTTGATCCGCAGACGACATGTTTTTTGACGCAGTCATCGCCGTCAACAACAAGAACATCGAGTTCAAAATCTTTGTTTTGGGAGAATAGGTGCGCGGCGGCTGCAATTGGGTTGTGCCTGATGGTCTGTGAAAAGCTAGTCGCGTTAATAGTGACTGGTAGCTCACCACCAACGAGCATCTCATGTGCCATTGAGTATAGCTTTTGGACAAGCCATTGTTTCTTCTCTATCATCTTATCCCCTTTGCGTAAGTTGCTTAAGTCTGCATCCAAGCCGCTGTCAAAGACCGCTTGAAGAAGCTGGTGCTCCGCAAAGAGGTATTTAGTAGCGTCTTCTTTCCCGGCGATACCATCTGGATCTGACGTTCCGTTGGCAATCATCTGGCTTTCGTTCGGAGTTGGGCAATGAGCCACAGTTGACATTGCCACGTCTGTCTGAATTGTGTCCTGAAAGGTAGCGCCACTCGTCGTTAATATGGTAGCCTGCGTCCCGTCCACAGAGTCATATTGTTGATCGCTTCCGTCATCCGAGGTGTCTGTCGATTCTGGAGTCACCGCAGAGGGTCTTGGAGGTCGTATTAGAGTTAAATGGCCAGCTTCGTTCTCAAGAAGAGCGAAGCCGCGCTGTTGAAGGTATGCATCCAGTGGTGGCATACCCAGAATGAAACTGGCGTGCTTCAAAAATGAAGGCAATGACACGGCATCCTTTCCCAACTCTGCTCGAAGGTAAGAATAAACCTTAGCCGCCATGGTCCATTTGCTTTTGTAGGGATCTTCGTTCCAAAGGGATGTCAGAACACCCGACCGTTCCTTTTGAGGAATACTTGGAAGCATTTTGTTATAGAAAGAACGAAATGCCATGAATGCATTCAAAGGCCGAAAAGTGTTCTGTCGCTGTGAGGCGCCATTTCTGGCAGCGGTTTTCAGTGTCATAGTTTGGATTCTAGGATATTGTTTCTGTCGGAAAAGAAGGACCAAGTAAACATAAATAGAGTATTGTAAATGCAATTGGTACTTGTAATGAAGACACTGAGTAAAAGAAATGACAAGGACATAAAAAAATGATGCAGGGAGAGTGCTTTGTTAAGTACGCAATAATGCTCCGTTATGTCCTCGTCGTCCTAACGAGAAATCGCCGCTTTGGGCCATTGCCTGTGGCGTTTGTTGGCTGCAGTACAGTACGGAAATTACCCAGCAAAGGAAATACTGTCACATATGCCATTTAGAGAACACCTAAGGTTGTAATAATTCAATTTCTTTCAAAGACACATATGTTTCTCGTTTCTTCTCTTCCCTTTCGTCTTTTCCCACTCGCATCGCTTCCGACTCCCATATCTTCCCTTTCCATTTCCCGTTCTCATAATTTCTTGTTCTTGTTTAGCCCTTCCATGTACTGAGCCTGCATGTCTACATCTCACCAAGAAACTCCCATCTTACTGAGGAAGCCTGTAGACAAAGGCTTCCATTTCCTGAACTTCCGTTACTTCTGGCATGTTTCCAGTAGCGACTTCTTCCACCTTTCTGCTCAGTTCGTAAGGACGAGTAACCTTTTCAGGAGGATGTTGCTATGATTCCGTCAGTATTTTTGGCTCATATCTAAGCATGTTTGAAGATACTTACAAACGAGTTGCTGACAAGGGCTGAGACGTCGGAGTTATAGGGTGTTCTCTGTTCAAATGTTAGTTTTTGTTTTGCAAAGGTACACAACTTTCTCTCGATTCCCTACCTCAGAATTCTCAGTGTCGTAAATTGGATACGGAACCCCGGTAGCGGCAGCAAGTTGAATGTTGTACTGCTGAAGCTTGTATTAGCCTTGAAGTAGCATAAAATGACATTGGTTGAGCTTACCTTAGCTCTTTCGCTTGAGCTGTCTAGAGCCTAGTGTACCATGTAATTAGTACTTAGTCAAACATGAAAGATAAAAATTTGCATTAGAAACATGACGTACCGGACCAGGCGTTGCAGAGCTCGCGAGAAAATGTGTTGTTTGCAAGCTTTCCAACACTTTCTTCAGCGGACTTGCGTGAGCCCACTCAACGGTCGGCCGCTTCTCTTTTGTGAAGAAATCCCCTGGTGTCATTTCGTAGAAAAATTTCCCCCAATTGCTCCCGGGCATATTGCGGCATGGATGAACATCATCCGGCAAATCCCAGTCATCCAGAGAGTCATTCCAGATCAGAACTTGTCCGTCTGAGCTGTACATAATGTCCTCGAAGGGAATCATGCCGAACTGTTCTCCTGGGATGTACCTTTTCTGTTGCGAGTTGAGGGATGCCTTGCACATCAGATATAGTTTCTTGAAGGCGGTGTAGACAATGCGCTGCCGAGTAATATACTGGTCAAATGTAGAGGTCGGGGGTGTATTGTCGAAGCCTTGAAGCGTGTGAAGAAGCGATTTGATTGTGTCTGTATCAGAGAGTAGTTCATCAAGAACGGAGAGGCAAAACTCGAGCTCTTCGAGATTCTTAGACCGCGAGTCGAACATGAAAGTAATCGCGGCAGCCATGCCTACTTTTTCCGCATCAAAGGACTTGGCTTCTGCTATGATGGACCTGAGCTCCCTCTGTCCCATATAGAGTCGCGTTTGGTTGGCATCGTGATCGTACATGGCGTCCAAAAATTCGTGGGACTTTTCTGCTGCTTTTGGGTCAATAGTCGCCGAAGCATGACAGGAGTCAAAAAAATCCTTCACCTCTTCCAGGATGCCCGGGGGCATGATGACCAGCATATCAGCCGCAGAAATCTTGATGTTCGCCATTGTTGCTTCGGGAGTTGGCAGAAGATGTTGAGAGATGTGAAAATGTTTGTTTTGTATTTCTGGATGCAGGAGCGTTAGAATTATAAGGTATCGACTTCTGGAAGCTCCAGGAACGACCAGTGACTTGCAGTATCCACTTCTTAGTATTGTTCCACTTTTTGCTTTGAGGTCTCCATTTTTCTTAGCATTGTTCCACTTTTTGAATATCGGAAGCTGTCAGTGTCCTGGCTCGAATCTGTTTCTACAAATATCAAGAAATTTTTCTATCTCTCCAAACTCTTCTCTTCTTCTTCTTCTTTCCATCTTTCGATTTCTTTATCCTACCTTTTCTTCAAACATTTTACTTATTCATATTCCACATCTCCCATTTTCAAACAGTATTTTCTTCGCAATGGCGACTCAGTCTGCACCCCGCCGTGTTACTTTCATTGTCAATGACGACGACGAGAAGTTTATTATCGTCATCCCCGAGGAAATAATTACTGCTGATCAGCTGAAAAACGTTGCTCGAAATTTCCAGTATGTTCAATACCTAGATTAATTTGTCAGAACAAACAATCTAACATGACAGACGCGTCGCCGATGAAGATTGCTCTATTGTCTACGATAGTGAGACTCGAACTTTTCGCTTGTCCCAGATGGCTGACGGCGAAGCTCTCGAGGCTCCTCGCTACACACTTGTCGGACATGCCAAAGGTAACAATCCCACTCCTGCTTCCAAAATGATATGATATTTCCTAACTTATTGATTTCCTGACAGCTGTTGAAGATAGCGGCGACATCTCCGCCAATGCTACCAAATCGCACCGCATTCCTCGACCCCCTAATGCATGGATAATCTATCGATCTCAAAAGTCGAAGCAAATTCGCAAGGAGCTTCCCCAAGCCACAGCTGGATACATTTGTAATGACCACAACCCGTCCCACATGTTCATATTGAATATAATCTAACCGACGCAGCTACCGTAGTTTCCCGTATGTGGAAGCTGGAGACAAGAGAAACTCGCCTTCTATTCAACGCAAAGGCAGTGGAAGCCCAGAAGATTCACAGACAGATGTACCCGCACTACCGATACAACGCCAAGGGCCGAAAGGCAACGTCAAATGCAGTTGTTGAAGCACTGGACCAACATTTTTGAGGGACACGCCACCAAGACCTCTAAATAGTTGAACAAGAAGATGGCATTTTCTCTTCGACTTCCGGCTGTTTCTCGATAGACATCTTCGACAGGGCTGCGTCTGTCTCTTTACTTTCCATTTCTTTTTTGTGTCTCTTCTCGGATTGTCATTTTCCCTATATTACCTTTCATTACTTCACACATGAGTGGCCATCCGGGCACGTTCCTTCTGTTTCATTTCTTTCTCACGATTTCCCATTTCCCCATCAGCAATACCCTGTAGCCGAGACTAGAATCTCAGCGCAACATATCATGGAACTTTGCTGATTGGTTTTCTTTTGTTTAACTTTCTTTTGTGACCCTTTTCTTTTCGACAGTCACTTATGGAATGGAGGAAATATGGAACATGGGCGTGATGGACTTAGGGATACCTAGAATGCATGGATCTAGCATGGATGCCACGGCAAAGTCTCGGACAACCGAGCACCAGATAATTTTCATTTTACTTTTCCAATACAGAAACACATTCATCAAACAGACTGTTCTTTTCGGTAGCACTCGTCTTCTACAATTAATATACTGCGAATGACAGACGACGTGGACATACGACACGCACAAAGCATTGGCTGCACACCGTTTGGAGTGTCTCCCTTTGTATTCTGTCGCGTCTGCACCTCGCTGCCCTTTGTATATATTCGCTTTTTGTAGACGATGTGTACAATCTCCCGCTACGCCTGTCATTGCTTTACGAGTTGCCATAGTCTGCGAGGAGAGCGAGACACAGCAGAAGAGGACGAGGACTTTCCCCACGTCCAGTAGGCGCTCGTCACTGGGCGCTACTGCCAACCCACTAAAATGTAGCCCTGCAGACACCAACAGATCCAACGGGACCCAACAGACACGCTAAAGAGCCAAAGGGCGGCCGGCCGTAAGATGTCGGTGTCGACTGGACGTGCTGGCCCTCTGCTAAGGGGAGAGCAGCTAAACATCGTCCCGTGTATGTTATCCTAGTCATCTTTGTTCCGTTTTTGCTCTCATTTTGCTCTCATTTTGGTCTCTTTTTGTTCTCATCTTTGATCCCATCTTTCTCCCGTCTTTGCTCCCATCAACTTTTGTCGTGTCCCCTCGTCGACCTACTCCCGTCTTCTCCTCCACCTTCTGATTTTTTTGACCTCTTTGTTTTGCCGCCATCTTTCTTCCCAGCCACCTACCTTTTCTTTCTCCTTCTTTGCTCGCAATCGACTTCCACTATTCCCATTTGGGGGCGTGAGGCCTTCACGGTTCCCATTTGGCCCCGCTGCCTTTTCCTCTTGTGTCACCAACACTAATCTAGCTACAGTGCTGTGTGCTTTCTCGGCACCTCGTCTTCGTCTTGCCGGATCGACGTCCCAGTAGGTGGTTTCCCACCATTTATCCTGCGTCGGCGCAAATATGAGCTATCAGCTCAGTTTCTCGTTCTTGTGCGTCGTACTATTTCTGAGTCCGGTCTTTTTTATCACTTGTCACTTGTTGCCGCCGCCTGTCGCCTGTCGTTTGTCGTTTGTCACTTACGGGTATCCCTCCTACTCTCCTGTACCTGTCCCTGTCCCATGTACCACTGTACGCTGTGCTGTCAGTGGTCTATTTCCAAGGTCCGCCACAACCAGTGTTTAGCAGTCGCCTCCTCTGGCTAGGGGATAGTTTTCTGAGTGGACTTCCGTCGTTGATTTCTTGACTTGCGATCAAACTGCCTCACGGTGCTCACAGCGCGTTCAACATAAACGATATGTCGTACTTTTTACACTGTACATCGTACTTTGGAACACGTAGGGTCCAGGGTGCAGAACCTGTCCATCGCTCCACCTGAGTCCTCTTTCGCATTACATTTCTGGGGATTGTGTAATTTGCAGACAAATTGCCACCGGGACTTGTCGTTTCTTGTCGAACATTGTGGTATGCTGTGCGAGGACGGCGAAGACGCGAAACAGTCGTCCGACCCAGTATTCTATCCAGACATCAGGACGGTCCCAAAAATGGAACCGGTGACAGTGCCGAGCGTGTCACCAGAGCATCGCCAGAGATCGTAGATCGGAGAAGCGTAGACCAACAGCTGGTCCAAACGTCCTGTCGGGCCTTCTCTGCTCGCCGTTCACAATTCTGTTGCCTCTAATTGCATTAGGTTCTCTTAGGCAGGATTCATGTCGATGAGAAAAGTGTATCTTAATCGTGATGCCCCGACTCCTGCTTTCCTCTATAAACACGTGCTTCGCTGCATGATTCTCATTTCGCGTCGTCCCCTCTTCTCCCTTCGTCAGCCCTGCCCTGAGATCATTAGCTCCGGGGTGAATCACCCTACTCGCAAGCGCCGGAGATATCTGGTAGAAAGTGGAAGAAACAAAGTGGGTGACACAAAATGGGCGGCGCCTTTGTTTTCGCTGCTGATACCCCGGAGATGTACTGGAAGCGACGAAGACGAACGCAAAATGATGGTATAGCTCCGGCGCTACAAGAGAGTGAGGAGAGAAATCCAAACGTTTGGATAGTGGAATCGACGTTGGTCGAGGTGTAGTGTCGAAGTTGGATGATGGAAAGAAACAAACCATCAAGAGAGGGAGACACAAAAGATGGGAGGCGGCGATTTGCTGTTGGAGGACCGCCTGCGGCCACACTACGACAGCCGGCCGGATGCTGCCCTAGAAGACTCAACCTCGATTCTACACCAGCACCAACGCCAGCAACAGCGCTTATTTCCCCTTGTGATCCTCCCGCTCCCCGGAGGTATGCTGTTTTCAGAACGGCCGGTTTCCTAACATTGTAGCGAGACAATCCCGTAACAGGCCCATGGCTGACAGCATCGGGAAAAATGAGCAAGGAAAGGATCGTAAGAAGGGATACCGTCCAAATGTTGGATGTGTTGGACCTGGTGGACCTGACCCCATGCCAGAGTCCATTTTAGGCCCAACGGTCGCTGTCTCTCTGTCTGTCGCCTCCGTCCTGTCGCCTCTGACGTTTCTTGTCCAGTCAGAGCGTCTGCTCACTTTGTTAGTGGCCAGAAAAGGCAAGGAGTCCAAATAGGGTTTCCCTAGCGGGCGATCGGTGGGTTTTGGCTTCTGGGCTTGGGTGGGTTTGGTCCGTGCTGAACGTCTTAGCGTCTCAAGGGATGTGGCCTGCTGAGCTCCCGCCGGATCCACTGAAATCGGTAAGAGGACCCCACCAAAATAGCTTGCCAGCTCCTTCAAGCAAAGATGGTCGCTTGAAGCACCACGACGAGCAGACCCATAGAACAGCTCGCATTTTTGAAATAGAACGTGGGTGACAACTGATATGGTGACAGGCAACTGGGCGGAAAGCGAGAAGAGGAGAGCCGTCAAGTTGGTCTCTGACTGCCCTGCTGGGGTCCTTCAAGATCCCTTGCAAAAGTGAAGGCCTGCTGAAAGACGACCCCACCAATATTGCCTGCATAAAGCGGGGCTCACAAACAGGACCTGTCTGGGCGTGTTGGTGGCCAGCAAAGGCGACAGGGGCTGGAGGAGGAAAAGCACTGGCCTGGACTGTCACTGAAACGGCCTGACAGTAGCAGCATCGGCTTGAATGGCTGGTGTAGGCGCAGTTTGACAGCATCGCGCCACTGTGGCTACTTCACATGACTTGGACGGACAGCCGGTGACGCTCATGAGAGATTCATTTGAAGGACGAGAGCGGCAGCGACAACAGAGGCGACAGAGGCGAGAGTGACGGAAGATGAAGGGGAGACCCATCGTGCCCCTTCCAACACGCTTCATTTCATGTTTTGCTCTTTTCCTCTTTCGTCCAAAATAAGTCACTTTCGGTCATCTCGGCGATCTCAGGCTCACACTCCTGGAATTTGCCGTCTGCTTTTGTGACGAATCTCTGAGAATATATGACGTAGACAAGGGAGATGCTCTGTCGGTTCAGTTGCCAGTCGTCGGTTGGAGTCTGCCGGTGGCTGCTGGTGAGAGCGCAATCTCTTGGAAACTCTCCCTATCTATTTCCAGAAGCTGTTCCGTTCGCTTCAGCACCGACTGCAACTTCGGCATCAGCTTGGACTTCTCCGCTGTTGGCGCTACATCCCTTGGCTGGCGGGCCTATTTCCCCTTCCGGCGAGTCGCCCCCAACAGGCACAAACAGGCACAGGGGGCACCAGAGCACCAGAGCACCAGAGCCATAACGGAAGGAACGGCCGTCGAACGCAGCAACTATTGGCGAATTGCCTCCTCGCCGTTGGCGAACAGCTTCGTTTCCGGGCACCACAGAAAGTTAGTCCACTCTGTATTCTGTACATTGCCCAAAATTGTCTCACTCCTAGTAGCAGCCGTGCGAGGAAGCTTTGCAATGGAAGGGTGTCTGTTAGATTCACCATGGCACATTGTATCCTCCGGCCTCGATTCCGCCCCGTCGGTCAGCAGACATCCACGGTGATGCACTGTAGTAGATCCGGCCGGAGATATCTGAGTCGGCAGTACTGTGACTATGGCCCTTTATTCGCCAGAGAGCGAGCTTGCAAAAGTAGTTCGTGATGAACCCAACTGAGTTGATTCAATGCAGACCACTATTCGTGCAGCCCTGACTGATCCGAGAGAGAGGTCAGAGATCGGCACTGCATCGGCCGCTATGCACTTGGCGATCGTGTTGCAGAAACCAAACGCGTTTAGACATGTTTGCGAGATGGAGAAAAAGAAAATTATCCAACATACCCGTTTCTGTTGTTCACCATCCCAAAGTCTATGGCCTGAACCCAGTGATGTTCCTAGAAGGCTGAAGAAGATAGAAACGAGGGAGAACTTCAGAGCACGGGGCTCAAACGGTGATCTTGACTGTGGCCGTTGTAACTATGAACTGATGTTAGACGGAGACAGAAGCGACGTGGGAGTAGTAGCAGGGTTAGTGAAATGCATTACTAATGGGAAAGGATTACCTGCCTGGATGTTTGCAAATGTAATTGCTGGAAACCTGAAGAATGGCCCGCGAAAAATGCATGCACATAGAAATGTCAGAGAGGAGAGATTTATTGAGTATACTAAACAAAACGAACTAAAGTCAAATCAAAATCAAATCCAAAGATAGGAAATATTACTCAAAAAGAAACAGGTCCAAAAACAGGTATTAAAGTAAAAAAGGAAATACGAAAGAAAAGGAGACAGGAGAAACTCAAATCAAAAGTACAGGATGGGGCTCAAGACATGGGGTGAAAAGAGGTGAATCCAAACGTAAACAGTGACAGGACAGGACATAGCAAACTCGAAAATCAAATCACGGAAACAAACACAACAGGAAACAAACATAATAGGAAACGAACACAATAGGAAACAAACAGAATACGAAACAAACACAATGTCAAAAAAACAGCATCAGTACCGGTACTGATGATCCGCCCGCGGCGGCATTGGCGGCGGTGGCCAGCCACCACCACCAGAGCCGCCTCCAGGACCATGGCCGCCGTGACCACCATCATATCCACCCTCACCACGACAACCTCCACCGCCACCGCCACCTCCACCACCACTGCCACCGTCCTCGCTGTCGTCCACGCCTTCCTCGTCGTCACACCGTGCCGGCTGCACATCCCCACACCGTCGACACCACTGCGGATCCGGTGCGGCCGCCATCCGCGACGCAGGAATCAGCACCACAATGTGCCGGCGGCGGCAGCTGCACCGCCACGTCCAGTGCGGGGGCAGCGGGGGAGGGCGCCGGGGCGAGGTCGCAAAGGGCGGCGGCGGCGGCGGCGGGTTCTTCAGCGACAGGCGCGTGCGCTCCATGTAGGCGACGAAGAGGTAGCGGGCCATGTTGATCTGGTAGGCCCAGAGGGGGGCGAAGTCGATCCAAAAGGAGGGCGGGCAGCGCAAGAGGAAGATGTGGGCCGGGGAGAGGGGCCCGTCCACAGGAATGGGGGGGAGAAGTCGAGGGCGAGGCGCAGGGATAGGGACAGCCACAGGCACAGGCACAGGCACAGACACAGGGAGCGATGGCGTGATAGCCAGGTCGCCGACAGCACTCGCATAGTTTGCACGGGTCGACGGAAGACGCGCATGTGCATGGGCAATCGGCTCGACAGCGGCAGGGGCCGCCGCATGGGCCGCTTCCCACTCGTACTGGCCCGCATCAAGGTCGGCATCCAACACCACGGGTGCCACTGCAAGTGTGTCAAGGTCGAGATCGACGTTGGCATCGATGTTGACATCGAGATCGATGTCAGCGATGGCATCAGGACGGCGCGCCAGCGCCATTGGTTCCGCCGTCTGCGATAGGACAGCCGCCACGTCGCCACCGGCCTCGGCATCCATCGCGGCCGACGAGCTTGTCGGATGGTTGTCGCCAGACCAGTTGTCCGTCATGGCCTGCTGCTGCTGCTGCTGCTGCTGCTGCTGCTTCTCGACGACGGGCCGCTGCGGGCGCGGTTCCTGGCGCACAATCGGCGTCATGGCCAGCGCAGCCATGTCGGCCAGGCGGCGTCCTTGGTGCGAACGGGCGTCGGGTAGGGCGGGCGCTGTGCGTGCAGGGGCAGACGACGACAGCGGAGCCGGCGCCGACGTCGTGGCAAAGAGCGAAAGCGACCGGTTGGTGGTGCTGCCACCAGGCGCCGAGCGCGTGGTCGAGCGAGAGGTGGAGGCCGACGACGAGCTCGCGGCCGACACAGAGGCCGGGCCGGACGCGCCGGACGCGCCAGACGCGCCAGACGACGGAAGGGAGGACGCTGCCGATGTAAAGGTCGTGGCGACGGGCGACGCCGTGGAGTCTGTCGAGCGGGACGACGAAAAGGACGAGGAGGTCAGTCCGCCAGGCGAGGGGGGGCCCGAAGACAAGGTCGGCGGCGAGTCGGCATTATCCGACAAGGCGATGGGAGGCCAGGTCGGGTCGGCGCCGTCCTCCTCGTCGCTCATCTCAGCCATGTCGTCGATGTCGTCGATGTCGCCCGGCTGCTGCCCAACCGATGACGCACTGGCCTCAGCCCGGCGGCGCGATCGAACAGTGCGCAGCGCTCGACGAACCCGGGGTCGATTTCGGCTGGCGGGAACCCGGCCTGCGCGGTTGTACGGCGGGGACGAACGGTACGACGTCGTGCGTGGGCGCCGCACAACCAGCGACGACGAAGCACGAGGGCGTTGGGACAGGGACACGGATGCAGGGGCCGGCGACGAAGACGACAGCGGCTCGATCTGATCTGCGATCGATGCGTTGTGGTCCGCGACAGGAGACGCACCAGAGGTGGGTGCATGCACGGCCGATGCTTCCTGAGGAGGATGGCTGGTGGAGACGACCACATCAGGAGTGGAAGCAGCCGAGTCATGCTGTTGACCATGGTTGGTAGCGATGGGCTGGTGCTGGACTGGAAACGAGGCGGCAGGCTCCTGCTGCGCCGGGGGAGGTGGCGGCGCCGACTGCACTGTGGGGGGCGTGTAGTACCGGTAGGGGTGGTACATGGGGTGTCGGTCCACGTTGGGGACGTAGCCATAGATGTAGGGCTTGCTGCCGTTGACGACAAGGGGCTCGTATCGCTTGGGTGCGGGCGGGTCGGCACTGCTCGAAGAAGCACCTGTATCCTCTGTAGCGGATGGGCGTTGCGAGGACGGGACAAAGGGCGCCGCCAGAGGTGAGGGGACGAAACGAGACCGGCGCGGCGGATACGGAAAGTCGAGAGGCAGCGTCGGGAGGGGGTGGTTCACTGGCAGAGGAGGCAGAGGAGGAAGAGGGGGCACAGGTGGCTGAGGCCGTGGAGGCAGAGGAGGTGCTGGCGGTCCTGGCGGTCCTGGCGGTCCTGGAGGTCCTGGAAGTCCTGGGGGAGGTGCGCGGGGAGCCGGCGGTGGGCCAAAGGGCGAGATGGACAGAGGCACTGGACGTGAAGGGCGAGTCCAAAGGGGCGCCGGACCCAGTCTGCCATGGCTGGTTGTGGTGCTAGCTTGTGCGCCAGCCAGCTCGCGTGCCAGATGAGCGGCCGTTCGACGTTGAATGCCGGCCTGCAAAGTTGCTTGCAGAGACAATGTGAGTCCAGCGGCAAAGTGAGGCGGGTGCTGTTGCGGCGGTGGCTGTGGATACAAGCCCGGCTCGGATGCCTGGTATAGATGGGCAGGCTGCGACGGTTGCGACGGCTGCGCTGGGCGTGCTGGGTATGCTGGCTGTGCAAGAGGGACTGGCTGTGCAAGAGGGACTGGCTGGACAGCATGGTCTCGGGTTGCCTGAGCGGCCACCTGGGACTGCCGTCGTTCCTCTCTCTGCAGAACAGCACGAAGAGCGATGAAGGACTCGTAGAGCTGGACCGAAGTGGATCGTTCTGCCGCAGGGATGCTGAAGCGGATATTGTCGTTGTTGTTGGCAGCGACACGCGGACGGTCCTGCTCTCGCTCGCGGCGGGCGGCCTCGTCTTCGTCTTGCGCTCTGCGGGCGCGTTCGTCTTCCTTCGCCTCGTCCGCGGCCAAGCGTGCCCGATGCCGTTGGTGCTCTTCGCTGCGTTGACGGACGATCAGGTCTTGCAGCCGCTCGATGTCGGCCGAGCGTCGCGCAATCTGATCGCGGTCGCGCATGGCTTGGTCCTGCTGCTGCACCACGGCTTGCTCTCGCTCCTGGGCTTGCGCATGCTCCCGTTGCAGCTGCTGTTGGTGGTGCTCCTCCTGCTCCTGCTCCTCCTTCTCCTCTTGTTCCTCCTGATCTTCGTGCTTCTTCTGCTGCTCCTCTTGCTCTTTCTGCACCGCCTGCTCCCCCTGCTCCTGCTCCTGCTCCTGCTCCTGCTCCTGCTCATCACCCCATTCCAGTAGACTGTCCAGATCGTCGACCGGAGAGCCAGTGGCTTGCAATGTCTGTGAGGACGAGGGCTCGGACGGTGCACATGACTCGAGAATGTCTTTGTGTTCGGACAGAGACTGATCAATCACCGCGAGAGGTGTCAAAGGCAGCGGCGTGGGCAACGGCAGCGGCACGCACGGGTTCACCAGCTCGGCCGGGTCGATGCCGACCGTCTCCGTCGTGGACAGGACCATGTTGGTCGACCAAAACGCAGGGGCCTCGCGCTCGGCAAAGGGTGGAAGGGCAGCCGTGTTGGTTGTCGTCGAGCGGGACGGCCGGCGCTCTGGACGCGTGGGGCTTGCCATGGCGGCGCTGGTTCCCTGTGCGCTGGTTCCCTGTGCGTGCCTCGCGGCCTGCTCCATCGGGCTCGACTGGTTTGCCTGGTAGTAGCGCGAGTGCTGCGGATGGTGCGGATGGAGCTCGCCCGGCACATAGTGCGGCTGCGGCTGCTGCTGGGGAGACGTTGCCGCGTGCGGTGCCGGAATGGGAATGGGAATGGGCATCGAAATGGACAGGGGGCCGGGGCTGCCACTGGCGGGCGCGCCAGTTGTTGGACCAGTCGTTGGACCAGTCGTTGGACCAGTCGTTGGACCAGTCGCTGGACCAGTCGTTGGACCAGTCGCTGGATCGGCTGCCAGGCTGGATGCCGCCGCCCTGAACGGACGCTGCGTGGCATAGAACTGCGCCTGCTGCAGATCGTGCGCGCGCGCCACGGCCGATGCAAAGGCGGGCGTGTCAAAGACGTGGCTGTCGCGCTGGAAGCCCATGAACGTTTCGCGACCACCCGCCACATGGAGCACCGACTGGGACGGCGAGAAGGGCAAGAAGGACGCCATCGCAGTCTCCGTCGTCAAGCCTGTTGTTGGGGCCGATGGAGAAGACGTCTGCAGAGGTGGACGTGCACTGGGCGTGTGGGGGTGGGCGTCTATGGTGGAGGATGCAGCAGCGCCAGAGAAGCTGCTTCGCGATCGGTTATGTGCTCGGAGGGCCGAGGGCGGTGCTGTCCCCGCTGGGTAGTGAGAGTGGGATGCGGACCGTCGGTGGACGTTGAGGATGGCTGCTGCACTTCCACTCACGTCCGGAAGAGGGACGTCAAGATCGACGTCGTCCATCTCAAACACCATGCCATCGTCATTGTCATCGCCGTCTTCTTCGCCACCACCAGCCGATGCAGGGACCTGGTCCGCTGCGGAGCCGGCCTGGTCGAGGGGTGCGAGTCTCGTCTCATCGGGATCCTCAAGATCACGTAGCATCACCTCGTCAAAGAACGTCTCGGGTGTGTTGCGGGATGCCATGTCGGACGTGCAATTTGCAGGTGGCTCTGGAAACGTCAGCATAAAGGTGCGTCAGCACAGAGTTGAGAGGGTAGACAGATAAATTTGAAGCGGAAGGTCAATCCGTTCTAAGAGAGGAGGCCATAACATACCTTTGGTGCGTCGGATGCGGACGGAAGACGCCTTCGACCGATCCCCATAAGCGAGTCCAATAGTCGGTAATTTGTTGAAGTGGTGATGGGTATGTGAAGGCGCTGGGAAGGTCGATGAAGGTAACAACAGGATGCCTTGAAAATAGTGCTACCTGTTGTAAACTGGGAACAGGAGGTGCCAATACAAATATGAAAGAAGTCCAAGTTAACCGAAACTGAGCAGACGGACAACGAAAGCGAACTCACACTTGTGCAATGCGATGTGGGGTTTTTGTGTATGTGTGTTTTGTGTTTTTGAACGTTGTGTTTTTTTCCAATGTTTTTTTTTTTTTGTGATTGGTGACAAAGGGGACGAACAACACAAAAGAGTCTGAAAATGTGAAATTGTGGTGTACTGAGAAATCAACTAAGAATGCAATGAACTCGATAGCACGGAAGAACAGAAAAGTGAAATTTATGAAAATTCAAGGTTTTTTGTAAGGTCTTTTTTTGTAATTTTTGTTTTGTGATGATGTAAATAAAACGCAGAGGTAATAAAACAGTGAAAACGATGAAGCGTAAAAGACAGAGCGTGAACAGGGATAAAACGCAAGGACTACAAGGAAAGAGAGGAGGGCTGTGGAGTCTGTGATGGATGTGAAAAGATGATGAACGTGGAAAGATGTAAATGTGGAAAGATGGGAATGGCACTCAGTCCTTGATATCTGTCTCGAGAGCGTGAAATCACATATACTTATATTCTAAACTACGAAAGAGTGTATCAGGTTCCGAATTGAGGACAACAAGACAGAAAACAAGCCATGGGCACTGAAGCAAACAAAGGGAATGAGACCATCGACGACTCTTGACGGAAAGAAGCATGAGAACGTCTGGCCACGAGGAGAGGACGGGATGCAAGTCCCTTTCCACATTCAGAATGAGAAGTGAGCAGAATGGCATGGGGCGGCGCATTGAGACGGATACTGGTGGCGGTTGCTAAGCGGGTTGCACATGGTCCTGTTTGTGCAAACGAAACAATACAACGGCAAAACAAAATTCTGATGAATCATATCAGCATGGCAAACGATGCTAAATTGCAGGCAAACGCAGGCCTACAGACCGAGGGCAGAGTAAAAACAGAAAAATGCAACTTCGTTTTGTACTTCACACAGAAATATGCCAGCGTCCACAAATAGACGTCCCCGGCAGCGGGGGGAAGACCATGCCAGAGAGTTGAGGTACTCTGCACTCCAGACTGCGAGCGGACGGTAATCTAGAATAAAAAGCATACAGGCCCTTATTCCACGGCATCCAGACCGGTCGACCTTCCCGACACTTCCCAAGTCTGTACTCAAAACATGTCTATCTGTTACCAACAGAAGGAAGACGTGAGTCAAGGGGTTCGGGGGTGGGAGAAGGAGAAACGCGGAACGTACGAGGAAGCAATAAACAGCAACAAAAAATGAACAAGAAAAGGAAACGTTGCGAGGATGTGGGGGAATCGGTGAAGAGGACGATGGGAAGTTGCATAGGTGAAGTCACACAAGCAGCATGCAGTGGGGCGAGGTGGACGAAAATAATAAGAAAAGGTCGACGCGGATGTGAATGCAAACAGAAAATAGAATGTAAGAAGTCAAAAACAAACAAAAAAAAGGGAAATGAGAGAAGAAAATAATGACAAGAAAAGAGGATGCCCGTCCTAGGCCGGTGAAGAGGATCAGACCTATCAGGATCCATGAATCACATGAGGATACGGTTTTGTAAAGAAGGATGGACTGAACTGAGCCTATTGACGGAAGCGACACGGAAACGGGAAATAAATGCAAACACTCACGACGCACACGTATACGCCCCCAGAGCTGAATACACGGCGAGCGATGATGCTGTCCTAGGAGCACAAATCTGACAACTGACAGAATCACGATGCACCATCCTGGTCGTCGTTTCGGCCGGACTCTTGCAAAGGGAGGATGACTGACTCTGGGAAAGAGCCCCCTGTAACATACTGGGATGGCATGTACGTGGGTTCATGGGTGCCTGGGTGCATGTGTGCATGGGATACATCGGTTCGACTGACCTGACAGCTGATGTGGGAGGGATGTGGGAGGGATGTGGGAGGGAAAAACAAGACAGAACAAGACGGGGAAATAAGGCGAGGGGAGAATGCGTGCACAGGCACAGAGAAGAAGAGAGAGAGGACGTGAGGAGAGCATGCAGGCGGACAAAAATCGAGAGGAGGGGGAATACGACAGACGTTGTCCTACCCACCCTTTCTGCGTTTTGTAGAGAGTACAGTACGCTGGACTCCGAAGAGGAGACGAGATGAGACGAGGACTGGAAGACAGGAAGACAGGAAGGCAGGAATACAAGCAGACAAGCTGACAAAAAGAGGGCAATCACCTGTGCCAAGCCTTCGTTCGGGTGCAACAACAAACAGCCGGTGCGCCTAGAACGTCAAAGATAAACAGAACACGACGACAGAAGGAGGTGCTCTTGTAACTGGTGGGTTAACTTGGCGCTGTATCTCGTGTCGTTAAGGAGGGGAGGATCCGAAAGGTTGCGAGGTACCGCTGGTGCGTTAGTGACGGCTCCTGAATTGGTGGTGGAGATGCCAGTGTATGTGAGATGGTTGTGACTGTAAATAGAGTATGTGGGACAGAACAAAATACTGCAAAAAGTGAATAAGAAGGTGAAAAGAGCCTTGCCACGGTTTTGGTGCCAAACAAGACTTCCATTTTGAGCTTGCTACATGAGAAACCGGCCAACGCCAGAAACGTCCCAGAGAAAACACCATGCCTCGCGTGGAGTTGTCTGTTCTCTCCTGCGGCAATTTGTCCTCCTTGTGCCGTTGGGCAATCTATTTTGTGCAGTTTGTGGAACATTGTCACAAATTGAGTCGGTGAAGAAAGCCTCACGTCTGTTGTCTTTGGGCAGCAGGGGTACGCCTCTGAAGCGGAGGGGAGGTGCAAGTTCAGGGGCTAGGTTGAAAATATGAGATGGTTGTGAAGGAGTGATTGACAAATTAGGGGGGACCTGGAGTCCTTGACTTTTGGAACTCCTTGAATGCCTCGGGTTGGACAAATCTGCAACCATATGCGCCCGGTAGAAAAGGTCAGGATAATGCTTGAGTCAGGGACAAAATAATACATGTGGGTATCAAACTGAAGGAAAATTGAAACAAGGGACAAAAAAGACATAAAAGACGAAGGAAAAGAGGTACATACGGGGATGCCGGCTAGGCTCGGGGTCGGAAGGAATGCCGATACGAAGTGCAAACGACAGGAACAGAGCGAGTCTCTGTTGTCATTTTTTGTCGCAACGAATCATTATCATCGATAGCGAAAAGTGCAAACGGCTTCCAATAGGACTGCACCCGGCTTCCCTCCGCGATGGCGACGTGGTGTCATATGTGCTGGTATCGAGGGGAAAGGTTCAACGCTGAGAATCGAACGGTGTTCACGAACAGTGGCCGTGGCTGAGCCCATGGCATAAGGCGGTGTGCCATAGGCGACACAAGAAAGCAAGAAAGCAAAAAAGCAAAAAAGGCAGCGTTATGTTGGTACCTGTGTCGGTTGTGTGGGCTCTGTAGGGACACCGATGAGGGCGTTTGGAAAGATGTACGGGGTATGTCCAGAGTGGGACGCAATTTACTTGCTTCGGAAGCGACTTGTAAAAATGAGACATTCCCGTCTTTGGAAGTGCATGCAAACGAAATCCCAGAGACAAGTGAGACAAAACAGACAGCACAGCCTGCCGGGAACGTGCATAGAGCGAATGAGAAACTGAAAGCCACAAATGTGACGATACGGAGGCTTCATGTGACGTGAGGTGCCGAGCTCTTGACAACAATGACGAAGGGCCGCTGAAAGCCGAGTGTAGTTTTGTCATGCAATCGTTTGATTGGCCGACGACTCCCTCCGATAAAAGAAAGTAAACTGTCTTTCCTCTTTGCGTCTTTCTGTGCTGCCAATTTGTTAACCCTCATCTGGTCGACTGCACCAGGTCACTAGTCTGACGTTGTGTTCCCCCACAGTGCAGTTCAATGACTTCCTGTTGAAAGCGTGGGGTGGTCAAGCGTGTAGTTGGTGAAGGAGAGAAACAGGGGCTGGCTTAAGATTAGAAATTTCAAAACATAAACACTAGCAAACAGATCAACGTCTCATGCTCAAAGTAAGCCGACCTACCATAGGGAAATGAATAAAACGAGCAGTGACTTTGCCAAAGCCAGTCGGGACGGTTTCTAAATGTAGTCAGTCGGAAGTCCAAGGGCACACAACCCCCATTTGTGATTCGGGTTGCTGCTTTGCAAAAGTGTTGTTTGGCTGTTTGCAGTTTGCAATTTTTGTCGAAGGAAGTCACCACACAAAGTCACTGCCATGGAATTGTCGTAAAGGAAAGTAAAAGTTGGAATATCCAAAAAACTAAAAATAAAAACAAAATAAAAAATCACGTTTGCCTAAGATTGACCAGCTGGCTGGATGTGCTGAATGTCAACAAATCCCCGCATCCAAGCGATCTCTGAACCAAGATGTTGAAAAGCGGACTACATCACCCAAATCATCATTACTAATTTTCTCCGGGAGACTGGTGCTGTAGCAGAGTAGCAGAGTGCCACCGTACTTGGCAAGGAGGGTCGCTTACCAAGATGCATAAAATCTTGGGAAATGGATGGGCGGTGAGGTGTTAGCCAGTTAGAGCCTGTGTGTTGCGTCGCCATTAGTGTTTTGGCACAGCTGAACTATCACTGGTGCATGTCTATGTTGTATTCAGAAACTGCAGTTCAAGTATCGAATCTAACTTTGGGATACAGCGACTTTCTGCTTGCCGCTAACCAACGACAGAGGGGGCAGTCTATCCCGCTTGACTTGCCACTTATTTCTCGACGCGTGA